AGATCAAAGAGGATAGCAGAAAAGAAAAAAAGGTTCTTGGATAGGCAGAGCCAATATAGTGAAAATGGCCATACTTCCAAAACTGTTATACAGATTTAATGCAATCCTGGTCATTATACCAGTAGCATAATTTTATGAGCTATTCCTCAGATAAAGACTAACATCTAGAATATAAAAAGAACTAAAAAAATTAGTTCTCACCTGAAATTAATAGACTCCTAGATGAAGAAGTATAAACAACAAATAAATATATGGAGGTTTGGGGGGATTTTTTGTTTTTTTGTAACAGGAATCAAACTCAAGATCTTGTGTTTGCCAGGCAGGCGCTGTGCCACTGAGCTATATCCTGGGCCTAAATATATGAAGAAGTGTTCGACATCACTGGGCATTTGAGAGATACAAATTAAAACAACATTGAGACTCCATTTTGCTCCAGAAAGAATGGCTGTCATCAAGAAATCAACCAATAACAAATGCTGACAAAGCCAGAAGTGCAAATAAGAACCAAAGTGGATGATAGGTCTCAGCTAGTAGGAAGAAATGTTTAAATGGAAAGGGCAACAAGGAGGGGGGGTGAGGACGGAAAGGAAGGAAAAATGAGAATAAAAGGGAAAAAAATCTTTTGTAGATGAGGAGGGAAGAAGGGGTAAAGTGATGGGAGAGGAATGGGGGAAAAAAAGAAAAATCAAGATATATTATGTACAGGTAAAAATCCCTATGATGACTGTGATCATTACATATATCAAAAGTAATATAAAGGGAAAAAAGAATCCTCTACTGTTGGTGAGTGTGTATATTGGTACAACCAATATGCAAATCAGTATGGAGATGCCTCAAAAAACTAAAACTAGAGGTGCCATTTGATTCAGCTATTCCCCTTCTAGGAATCGTCCCTAAAGAGTTAAAAGCATCATAACACAGTGATATGTGCACACCCATGTTTACAGCGGCACAGTTTGTAATAGCTAAATCTTGGAAACAGCCCAGATGCTCATCAGTGAATGGATAAAGAAAATGTGGTTTTATATACTATGGAGTACTATACTGCCATAAAGAATGATAAACGAGACATTTTTAGGTGAATGGAATGTTTTCACCTTGAGAACACAATTTTTAAGTGAAATAAATCAGACATGTTTAAGTATTATATATTTCTCTTGTATGAGAAGTACAAAGTTAAATAAGGATCAAAATGGATGGTAGATATTGGGAATTAGGAAGAAAATATTCAAGTGGGAAGAGAAACGAGGGGAAGGAGAGGAAAGAGAAGGGAGGGCATAGGGTTAAAAAATAAAATAGAATGGAAGGAAAACAATAGAAACAAAGTTTTTTGGGGGGGTTTTGGTGTGTGGGGGGGTTGTTTTGTTTTTTTGGTACCAGGAATTGAACTCAGGACCATGCACTTGCCAGGCAGGTGCTGTGCCACTGAGCTATATCCCCAGGCCAGAAACAAAGTTTTGAAAAAGGAGAGGGGATGAAGGATTGAAGTGAAGGGAAGGAAATAGGAGAAAAGAATTAAAATATATTATGTACAGGTACAAATTCCCTATGACGGATGTGATCATTATGTGTGTCAAAAATGTACCAATAAATTTTTTTAAAAAATAATACCTTTAGAAAATTAAAATTCATTAAACATCATTTTTTAAAATTGTATTTATTTTTTTTGGAGACAAGGGCTTGCTATGTAATTCAGGCTAGCTTTGAATTCAGTATGTAACTAGGCTGACATCAAACTCACAGCAATCCACTTGCCTCAACCTCCCAGATTCCGGGATTACAGGCTTGCACCACCATGCCCAGTTTGAACATCAATTTTGTATATCCTATTATCAAGTCAGACAGGAACTAAAAATTACCACAATCCTCGTTTCTAAGCCCTGAACAGTGTATCAGAAATTCTCCAGCATGATTTTCAGCACTGCTACTGAGTGAAAATAATTCTTCCCCAATCCATAGTTGACTATGATAATTTCTGTAGTTTTTCCTATTGAGGCTAGATGTGACCTGGAGATCTTTTTCAGTAGCTAATTCATTACATTTTTTATTTTATGTGGTTCTGGTAATCAAACTCCACGCCCTGAGCATATGAAGTAAGCGCTGTACCACTGAGCTACATCCCCAGCCTAGTAACTCACTTGGAATTAGTGTACAAAACACAGTTGACTTTCCATTCCTGAAAGAAGGGTTGTAAAGCAAAATGTTGCACTAAATGAGAGATTAGACCAGAACTCTGCAATCACTCTAATTATTGAGACTCCTTTCTTTGAATTGTTGGCAATATTTTATTCACTAGCTAATTAGTAATAGGTAAAGAGTTTGAAAATCCCCAAAAGTATGTCATTGTTTTATATGTGATTTGGTTAGGATCTACTACAAATTCTAAGCATGACTGAATTTTTAATTAGCATCTTTTGGTTTTAATAGCAATTACTCATGTTACTTCACACAATTGGTAGATTATTACGAAGTTCAAGATAGAGCAGTAGTGGAGATTGATATTCCATGAAAATCCAAAACTTAGAACTTTCCCACTGATAGACAAGACTGGAAGTAGCTCCAAGGCTCTGGCGTCACCAGACAAGAACTTTTGAAAAGAATTTTTCTCTATAGTGCTTATATGTAAATATGAATCAGCTATGTATCTCCTTAATATTCCTCCCACAACCAGTTCACTTATTCTACCTTTTAATGTTTATTTATAAATAACTATAGCTATAATTGATAACATGGGCTTGTCTGATAACTATGATACTACTACTTTATGAATTTTTTCTACTTTACTCCTGTTTTAATATCTACCAACTAATTCTTTAATCTTGAGATATTTTCCCAATTTTGATTCCTAAAGGTTCATCTGTTGATGTTGGTCCATTTTATTTGTTTCTGAGCTGGCCCAGAATTTGGTCTCCAGCACTGATCCAGTCAGAAATAACAAAGGGTGTTCTTACAGTCCAAAACATGACTTCTTTGCTGTTACCTTAGAAGGGATAATATCATGGGGCAGTTTACATTATGTTAACTGTAAAGCAGGTCTTGAGTGACCTGTCTTTCGTTTGCTTACTTAGAAATTTGTTCCAAATTAAAATAGTTTAATGTATTTACAGAAACTAAGAGTTGTATTTTCCTAACTTACATACCAGTAATTAATGAATTCCCACATACTATGTCTTAGTCACTTTCATATCAGTGGACACAATACTCAACACTCACAGCTTAGAGGAGGAGGGTTTATTTTTGGCTTATGGTTACAGTCCATGATCCGTAGGCTTCAAGGCAGAAAGAGCATAGTACAAGGGCATAATGGAGGAAAGCTGCTCGCATCATGGTCTTTAGGAAGTAGAGAGGAAGGGAGGAAACAGGAGAGAGGTATTCCTACAGGTCACACCCCAATGAGCCACCAACCTCCTAACAGCACATGAAGCTATGGATTCCTCAATGAATCAGTCCAATGGTAAATATAAAGCACCCAGGATCAATCACCTTCCAAGTGATCAGTCACCTTCCAAAAACTCCATCTCTGATAACATAAGGCTTTGGGGGAACATTCTAGACCTAAACTATAATGTAGTATAATTATTATGTCACTAATTCTCATCTAATGAAGAAGTGGACATATGTGCATATAAATCATACATAATTTAGGTTCATAATAGAGACTAATATTAATAGAAAGGCAGAAAGAGGGGCTGGGGATTTAGCTCAGCGGCAAAAGCACCTGCCTGGCAAGCGCAAGGTCGTGAGTTCGGTTCCCGGTACCGGACAAAAACCAAAAAAAAAAGAAAGGCAGAAAGAGCCTTTCAATAGATATAGAAATAAAACTATGTAAATGTTTTCTTAAGATACTGATGTATTTAAAATAGTGTTTGAGATAGTCAAAATGACAAGCTACATTTTACTCTTTAATTATTGTAAGAAATTTATATGAAAAGTACTATGTGAAACTGATTTAGAAGACTATATTTGGGAAATAATCTTTTCATCTTGATATCATTAAAACAGTGGTACCTGGTAGGATTTCACAGAGCTATAATCAGTATTAGATCAGAAGAGTTAAAGTTTTGTTGTATGTAGATCATCATTATTTTTAATATAAACCAACCAGGAGCAGTGCTTTAAAATCTAAAAAAGTTTCTACTACGGTGTTGGTATGATCATCACATCCTTAAGGACTAGCCCACTTTGATGATTCCTTTATTAAAAAAATAAATTAGCTGCCTTAGTTTTCAATTTTCATTATATACTGATATATTTTTAACTTTATCATGCATGCTTGTAAAGCGCCATAAATCCTTTGAGGAAAATATAAAAAATATATACAAATGTTGCCTGGTACATTTAAAGAATACTATTTTCATCTGGAGTGTTTGTTTACATTTATAAAGGAATGGGAAAATGGTTTTCATTATTCTATAGCCATTTGTATAAGTTTAGTCTTTCCACTTCCAAAAGTATAGTTCTATGTCACATAAAATACTATGTATTTAGTTTTTTACTTAGAGAAAATGAATTGTTTAGAATAGTAAAATATGTCCTGGTCTAAAGTCCATTACAATGTAATTAACCAGTTTACTTAATTATACTTAATTTAGAATGGGGTTACATCTCGATAAATCCATTGAAAGCTAAAAATAAACTGCGTTTAATACACCTAACCTATGAGGTATTATAACTTTCAATGCGGTATGCTGTGAAGTATCAGGCATTTACCATGGGATCTTGTGGCTTACTGGGACCTATGTTTCACTTCTCCTGGCCAGTTTTGTGAACCACACATTGCTAGCCCAAGAAAAGATCAAAATTCTAAATTTGAAGTGTTACTTTTGCACTATTGTAAGACCGGGACCACCCATGTGAGACGTATGTTTATTTCATTGCGATCACGTGCCTGTTTATTTGTAGTATGTCTTTTTTGTTAGAATAAGATTGTAAACATTCCCAAGTTTCATTTGGAATCTTTTAAAACTTTTGTATTTCTTTTCACTTTTTTTATAAATCAGAGACCAGCAGTAATTGTAATGTTATTTTAAACAAGCCAAAAATCTATTGTAATATGTAATACTACTTAAATGAAGAAAGTTAAAAGAACAACCAGAACTCCAACTGATGATTATAACTTGCAGACCCTGATGAATATGTCACTCAATCCAAGTCGGCCTTCTTCATCAGAGGTAAGAAAATTCTACCTATCATTATTTTTGAGAAGTTTTGGTAAATCAAACAGGCAAGTTATATAAAGTATTAGATATTGAGTCCTTGCCTCACGCGTCCCATTATCCAATTACACTTCTTGTGTCACTAGCTCTGTTTCTCCAGTATTCTGAATTGAGACCTCTGATGAATTGATCTTACATCTTTATTTCTCAGTAATGAAGAGAAATAATATGATGTGCTCCATACCTAGCTTAAATTCCATAGAGAAGTCTTGATCAATCCTTAGCTCATATTTTTGACTCTGCCTTTCTCGTGCTTTATTGTTTTCATTTGCAGAACAACTCCTTTATTTCTCCACCTGTACCTTGCATGCTCTAGAGCAGCAGAACATGGTAGAGAAAAATATGCCAACATAAGGACTATTCTCATGTCAAATTCAAGACCATGAAACTTTTACTGATAGTCTGCCACCTTTCATTCACTACATAGTGAGACCCTATGTAAAAAAATACAAAGATCTTTAAATAACCCAGAGGCTCTACTTATTTTTCTTTTTCTACTAACCTGATTTTTACTTGCAAGTTTTTTCTCCACTGTCTCTGGCTCAGTCATACCAACTACCTTGAGATCTTTCCTTTAGCTCTTCTTTATTGTTGTTTTTTTTGTTTGTTTGCTTGTTTTTGGAGGCAGAGTCTTGCTACATAGTCCAGGCTGGCCTTGAACTTACTGTTTGCCCAAGGATGGCTTCAAACTGTGGCAATCCTCCTGCCTCAGCCTGCCAAATGCTCCCTTTAGCTCTTTCTGGAACTATCTAGGATATTGTCTGACTTGTTCATTATTTCCCTTAATTCTTTACTCACATCTAACCTACTCTGTGATAGCTACCCTATTCTATTTAAAATTGAAAACTTCTCAATCTTTGTCTTCCCTATTTTTCCTACTCTGCTTTTATTCTCTTTTCCCAAGTAACTGCTTATTGTTTTTCCCCTAAAAATGTACTTGTAATATACTAGGTAACCTATTAGTATTCTATATTTATTGATTATTTCTGACTTTTAATATTCAGTGAGTAGCAACTTTCCTTAGACTAGAAAATGAGACTCAATTTGCTGTTTCTATTGGAGTATTCTAAATAGAAGGATTCTAGTTAGAGTCATTATAAAACATTAATGGAAAAGTAGATGGTTTTATATATGCACAGGTAAGCTTACACACGTGCCCTACATATGGAATAGGTTCTTCCTGGAATTATGGGAAACAAATATATTTTCCAAACCATGGTGTTAGCTGTTTTGAAGGTACTCAGAGTTACCAATTATCACAACTCTAGTATGGAGGTGATACACAAATGATGAAGATTATATAAGATCTCTCGAAAGGAATGAGTAGCTGGGGAAGTGGGAGGGATAAAGGTTGCTGTTGAGAAAACTAGTATTCTTACTGTAGGCCACAGAAAGAGCATTTTATCAAATATTTTGAGATAATCTAAGAATAAAGCTATATCTACATGAAAATATGCTCCCAGGGCCAAATAACTAACTTAACAAATTTTTGAATTTCCATTTTTTTTATTCACAGAGATGCATAAATTTCTGTTTATTTAAATTTTATTTATTAAAATTCTATAGGATATCAATTGATTTATATCCACCTTAAAAATATTTTAACTGGTTTTCTTTTCACTCAGTTGGTGGAGCTTCATGTTTTTTATGTCCCTGAAGGATCATGGAACTATCAGTTAAATACTATATCGATACAAGTTGTTAACAAATTTATTTCTGCTGGATTTATAAGGTAAGTATTTTGTGATCATGTAACAAAGTACTTGAAGCCAAATCCCTTTTTTCTATAGAGAAAAATTCTTTCTGAAAATTTAAAAATTACAAGTGACAAATATTTTCATTATTTAATGGATCAATTCCTAATTTAATGAACACTATTGACAAATAAGATTATGTAATAGGTAAACATTTTGGTAGGATCAGATGTCATTTGGCTCTAATACTGTTACCCAGAAAATGGCATATAACCTGCATTTACTTTGATTATATACAAAAAGAAGAAAAAAAGTTATCTAAAATTAAAAATGTGTTTGAAGAGCTATAAAATAATAGTTAAAATGATATATCCCTAATACCCTTTTCTTAGAACTAGTAAAAATATAATCAATGAAGATATGTGTGTTACCTACATTTGTATGTGTATGATATGTGTGTTTTGTGTATATTTTCACATTCACAGAAACATGATACTACATAATCTGACTGCCTGCTTTTATCTCTCTTGAGTGTACCTCTTTTCCTAAACTTTCCCATCACTTTCTTCAATCATATCAGCCTCCTTTCTCTTCTGGAATACTTCAGATATGGCCCTACCTCAGGACCCTTGAACTTTTTGTTGTTCCTTTCCACTAGAATGCATTTTCTGCCTTTATCACATGCTCTCTTATCTCCTTTAGGTCTTTACTCAACTATTACTCTTTTGTGTATATATCTTCTGATCTTAAGTAACAGTAATAGACAGACCCCTTTATTCATTCCTGGTTTATTTTTTCTATAGTACTTACAGTTATCTTATGAATTATTTTTTTATTATATACTTTAATTTTTTTCTTCCACTTAAAGTCTATGAGGGAAAAGATTTTTGTCTGTTTTGATGAATACCACATTTCCCTCCTGTGTAACAAGGTTACATAATTGAGGCTCAGTAAATATGTTGATGAAACAATGGTTCAGTGAATGAATTCTCTAATTTTCTTGTAATATCCTAGGAAAACAAGAACTTCTAACAATAACATAAGTGATGGCTTTAAATTTTAAAAATTGAGGAAAGTATCCCTAATGAGTAAAGTTGTAGAGTCTGGCATCATTTCATCATAAAAGAAATTCTTAAGTATTGGGGACCCCTGCAGTGAGACTCCAACCTCTTGCAAGGTGTTACAGCACATGGCAAGAAAGAAAGAAAAAGCAAGAGACAACTTGGCAGTACAGCAGGGATCCGAGATGATCGGTTGTTCATGAGGAACAAAAGGCCAAAAGGCAGCCAGAACCCCAGCATTTATTGATTGAGGAAGGGACTATCGGATGATTCAGATTCAGAGCGAGGTGGTGATTTTAAACTGAGGGTCTGGGGTTGGGTATTAGCTCAGCGGCAAAGCACCTGCCTGGCAAGCGCAAGGTTGTGAGTTCGATTCCTGGTACCAGAAGAAAAGCAGAAAAAACAAACAAAGACTTTTACATTGAAGATATCAATATGTAATACAATAAGCATTGTTAATTCCGTACCACTCTGTTTGTAACTCTGTAATGTCTGTACTGATCCTTTGCTATTTTGTAAAACGTTGTCGATCTGTTAGTATTTTCCTCCTTTTATTTCTAAAATAAAAATAAATAAATAAATAAATAAATAAATAAATAAATAAACTGAGGGTCTTGCCCTGGAGCATCTTTAGTCTTAGTTTTAGTCTTAGAGGTTTTAATCTTAGTCTTAGTAGGCTGGGTGGGAGATCTCAAAAAGGTGATACGAAAAATTCCAAGCCTCCCTTCATCCCTTAGGGAAGTATATAAAAGTAGCTATTGTTAATTTGTGTTCCCCAACACTTAAGAACAAATTATTCCTGCTAAACTTCCAAAATAAGTATTGGTGGCTAAACTGGTCTTTATACATGGATGTACCTTGAAACCATAATGTTAAAAGTGAAATAGATGAGACACACAAGCTTAAAAATGGTAGTCTCTTATGTGAGAAACCAAAGTATAAATGGATCAAAAAGCAAAATAAAAGACATTAAGAAATAGATAAATCTTTGGCAGATGCAAAGGGAACTAAGAGATGGAGAGGTGGGAAGGGGACATAAAAAGAAATAAGATATGCCATGTATATGTACCAACCACCCACAATCAGTGCATTAATGATGTACCACAAACATGTATTAATGAAATAAAATAAAAAATGTTAAAGTATATAAATTCCATAGCAAAGTTTTAGTTCATAAAATTTGGAGATGGATTACAGAAATAGAGATTTTCCTTTTTAGTACGAAAAGAACTTTTTAAATATTATTCATGTAATTTTAAAAGACAATCATTTATTTTGAAAAGTATCGGAAGATCTACAAAGGGCAAGGCAATATAAAAACAGTATTTTAAGCTATGTCAGATATATGAAATTATTATTTATGTTTGAGATAGTTGACTAAAGTTACTAATCATTAGTATATCCAAAACCTATTTACTTTTATATTATAAAACAATTTCATGGTGTTCCAGAGTATCTCCTCAACTTACTTTACAAGCCCTGAGACTGCGCCTTGGAGAGTTCCTTGGTGAGGATGCTGTTGCAGAAAAATTTTTATTTCTAAAATGCATTGGAAATAATTTAGCCGTGGTGAGTATTATTTTTCCTTCTGATAAAAGAAAAGGATACCTTATCAAATTTTGTTTCTTAAATGCATGTTACCAGGCACTAAACGGATGGGATTTTTTGGTATATAAATTTCCTTGAGAAGAAACAGAAAACAAATTTAAAATGTGATTAAACTAGTTATTTTTGGCAAATTGATACTTACTATGTACAAAACTAGATAAAAGAATCCACTAAAGATCTTGCCCTTGAAGTGTATTCCATGTAGCAACCAAGAAATAAGGTTTTTTTTAAAAGTAATTGCATGAAAGGGAATAATTGATAGCAAGTTATAGTTTGCTGAAGGTCTTGGATACCTGGTTTATAAGTTGCTACTCTTTGTGAAACCTGGAGTTTTTGAGCAAAACAGTGACATGATTAGAAGTTTAATAAAAATTAACTGGGAGGCCAGGCATGGTGGTGCAGTTCTGTAATCTCAGCATTTGAGAGGCTAAGGCTGGAGGATCAACATGAGTTTGAGGCCAACCCCAGCTACATAGTGAGTTTAAGGCCAGCCTTCACTACACAGGGAAACCCTGTCTCAAAAAAAAAAAAAAAAAAAATTAATTAATTGGGCCTCACTGAAAAGGGTGGATTGAAGTGAAAACAGACTAGAGGGAGGGATTCAAGCTAGGAGGTTTTTAGTGGTTCAGGCAACAGGTAAGAAGTGCCTAAGGAATAGGCTGCCTCTCAGATCTCGTCTACTACTAGGTAGTAGTTCTACGTAGTGAGTCCATGTAAAAGATAGCCACAATTATTATTAAATGACATAGAACTTCTAGTATATTTGATGTAGTAAATAGAAATTGCTTTATAGTCTATACTTTTTAGAATCTAGGCATAGTTTTTAAATTTGGCTTATATGTGCTACACATATATAGCCTCTGAAAAGAGAATAGAGGTAAAAATAATAAGAAAATATTATAAAGCTTCAGGTTTTTCTCACTTATTTTTTTCTAGGTGAAGGAAAAGCAAGAATCAGAACTAAAACTCAAATCATTTGCTCCTCCATATGTATGTAATACAATATTTTAAACTTACACTAATTTTTTAACTCATACTGTTTTTTTAATTACAAACTAATTTTTAAATTTTCCTATATGTTTTAGGCTCTTCAACCAGAATTATATTTGCTTCCTGTAATGGACCATTTAGGAAACGTTTATTCAGCATCATTAACAGTTACTTTAGATGGGCAGCAAACTAATAATGATATTGCTGAGATGGATGGAACCATCCAGAGACCAGTTAGTGTAACTTTGTCAAAGGAAGAACCTGGAAGAATTCCCAGTTCCTTAGAAAACATCTTGAGAGAACTTTTTAGCAAGAATCAGGAAGAAGGTGATTTCAAGTGAAATGGGAAAATTAAAGGTTATTACTGTATGTTTTAGCAGTAAAGTCTGTGAGTAACTGCTGGGCAAACCTTGCTTACAAAGAGAAGTAGGTAAAAGAAAAGCTACAATTTAGTTTGGGGATTAAAAAATTGCCAAGTAGGAGGGAAAAAAACCTCTCCTTAAGAAATAGTTATAGCATTTAAATAAATCCTACTATCTTTGCTTCTTTTATAATGAATATTTCAGATAAATTAAGACTATAGGAAAAGAAAAAGGAAGTGATTTACCACATAAAACTTTGGTTATTACTCAGAGACCAGAAGGATCTTGTTCAGATAAACAGTGTCAAAACAAGGCAAAAATCTTCTTACTGTGGGGGACAAACGTATTTCTAAGAATTCAAAAAGTTTTGTCTGATTGTACCTATCAATATTAAAAAGTGCTGGGTAATTAAAAATACTTTTATCCTAATTAAATAAATATACTATTAATAAAATGGGCTAAACTCTAAGAGTAAATAGAAAAATTTCAGTTTTGATATTACATAAGGACATATGCTATTTACAGGGGAAAGACAGGTATATTAAATAAATCCCCCAAATTAATTACAATATCCATTAAAGCTGTGAGTACTAGTAGCCAGGGTTTGAACCCAGGCCTTGTATATGCAAGGCAAGCACTCTACCACCAAGCTATATACCCAGAACCACAAATCTACTAGTTTCTAACTGTAGTTACATGTATTATCACCTAAACTTAAGCAATACTTCATGTTCCAAACAGCATTTTCATATTTCTTTTTTATTACTTGACTCTGGTGAGATGCTCATTGAGAATCTTTACCTTTGTCTTTATTTGGGCACGTTTCTACATTCCAGTCATTATAAAAATCACTTAAGGTTAAACTAAAGGAAAAAGATACCAGGAAACAGAGTGGAATCCCAGTATTCCTGAATAGTACAAGGTCAAGTGGTTAATAAAGTGGTTCATGAGTAGTGTCATATTTTACATACAGCCAGAATTAAGCTGCTTACACAAAACGTCTATAAAGAATAGTGGGAATTTTAATTCTTTAGGTTCCATGCAATTGTAGTTTTTTAGTACTAATCTGTTAGTGCTTTAATCCAAAGAAATTGTCTTGTGAATGAGAGGCTATGTTCATTTTTAAAAGCTCTAAAAACATTAAATAGAAGATGAGGATTAACAGTAATTCTACAAATCAGAGATAGCTCTTATTAACATTTTGATATATATTTTTACAGTTACTCTTTTCAGTTCTTGCATGCAATATGTACTTTTTCTTTTTCAGCAAGGACACATACACTGAAAACAAAAGCTTCTTTTATCTTAAAATATTTCATAGATACTTCATATTAATATAAATCTTCATCATTATGGAATTCCATTATAATTTATTTCCCCAGTCCTGTATTTATGTTTTTGCTATTATGTATAGAGCTGTAATATTTTTCTAAATGCAAATTTGTGCATTTGTTCTATTACTTTTTTTAGAAATTTAGATGCTGGTTCTAAAATAATATAGTTTTCTTGGCGTTTTTCTTTTAGAAGATGTTCCAAACTGGTATATCTTTCTCTGGTCACATCCTTTTCCAATAGGGGTAACTACTGCTTTGATTTTTGTAATAATTGTTTTTGCTTTCCTTTTTAGTTTTACAAGCTGCATGTGTATACCTTAAAATATAGTTTAATTCTATCAGATTTTAATTTGATGTATATGTTTGGACTTTCTTATTTTAGTCAATATTGTAATTATAAGATTCAACTACATTGTCACATGTTACAGTTTCATTTATTTCCATTGTTGTATACTGTTTGTATGAATATATTATCATTTGCTTACCTTTTCTACTGGTAACAGATATTTTTGGCTTGTTTGTAGTTTGGGGCTAATAAAAATATGCAATTACATATATTTTTACTTGAGTTCTTGCTGTACATTTACAAGAGACTTTGTATTGTCTACACATGCTCAACTTTACTACATAACATCTATGCATTTTCCACAGTACTTGAACCCAGTGCCAGTCCCTGAAAGTTCTTGTTGACCCATTACTTTGGGAGTATATTAAAGATTTTCTATTTCCTTACTTCTTTTCCTCCACTTTCTGAATAATTTTTTTAACCTTCTGAATAATTTCTTTAAATATCTCTTCCAAATCTATTTTATTAATTATGCTTTAGTGTATCTAATCTGTTATTAAGTCTTACATTAGAATTTTAATTCTGAATATTTGTTTCTCTACAAGTTCTCTTTGGTTGAGGATTTTCATATGCCTAATGACCATTTGGATTTGCCTTCAGAAATCTTCCCAGATGTTTTGCATATTTTCTGCTCTTCTAAAAGGTTGATTCATTATCTTACATGTATAAATTCTGAATTATATAATGTCAGTATTTTAAAATGCAAAATATGAAGTAAATCAGTACTTTGAAAGAACTTCAGTGTGTGTATATATAATTCATTCTAGATTTTAATTGTGACCTATCTTTTTATTCTTTTGATGACAGCAATTCTTAAATTTTGTCAACATGTTCAATTACTGAGAAAAGAATATTGATGTCTTTAAATATCAATTTCTGCTGTATATATTTGAAGCTCTGTTGTTAGATCAATGCATATTTAGGATTAGTTTGTCTTCTTGATGAACTAACCCCCATATTATATAATGCTTCTCTATATTTGTGATAATGGTCCTTATTTTTATTTTTATTGAGTCTGATATTAATATAGCCATTCTACCTTTCCTTTGATTAATGTCTCTATGGTACACCTTCCTCCAATCTTACTTTGAACTTATCTATGACTTTACAGTTCAAGTGACTTTTGTGTAGACAGCATAGTTATTTAAATTCAATTTGGTAATGTATGCTTTTTAATTAGAGTGTTGAGATATTTACATTTAATGTAATTATTGGTATGTTTGGTTTTAAATCTGCCATCTTGCTAATTTTCTTTCTATTGGTCACATCTATTCTTTTTGCTCTCTTTTGTCATTTTGGGGTGTTGAATACTTTTTTATGACATAATTTCATGTTTAGTATTGGCTTCTTATACTGCATTTTTAAAAAATTCTACTGTTTGCTTCGGGTAGGAGTCAGCAACCGTGTATTATTTTTATTTTAAAGTATGACCTGTTGCCTGTTTTTATAAATAAAGTTTTGTTGAAATATTGTCAGTGACTGCTTTTACACTATAACAGGGTTGAGTAGTTGTGACAAAGACCTTATAGTCCACAAGCCTGAGATATTTACTGTCTGTCCTGTTAAGAAAAAATTTTCTGACTCCTGTTATGTGCTATGTATTATGTATTATGTACTATAAGTTGAAGTCCACTTTCAAATTGTATATAATTTCAAAAAAAATTCAGAAATTCAGAAGTATCTTCTTTCCTCTGTTGTGTTGTTACTGTTTTTACATTAGGAATTAAAATGAGGAGGGCAATGAATTTTTATATCTATCTCATTTATCATTTCTTTCTGCCTGAAAAATTCCTTTAAAATTTCTTTTAGTGAAACTCTGCTAATGGTGAATTCTCAGCTTTTTACATCTGAAAAAGTCTTTATTTTGACTTTGCTTTTGAAATGTATTTTCACAAGATATAGAAAGTTCTGGTTGACAGGTTTGTTTGCTTTTTTTTATTTTTGTGTTTCTTGCATAATTTCAGAGAAGTCTTATTTTACATTTTGTTTCTTTTTTCTCTGTTTTTTCAGATTTTACTTTGGTTTTCAGCACTATTATTATGATATACACAGTATTTAGATTTTATTTAAACCCTGATTGTGGTTTTCTAAGATTTTTGCATTTATGGTTTGTTGTTTTTCAGTAATTTTGGAAAAATATTTCCATTACCTTTTTTTTTTAACTGAAAATTCAAATCTCCTAATTGCCTTATAACATCAACTTTGGGATGAACATAAGAAAAATTATTATAGATTATCTACCTTCCCCCACCCTGGTTCTAAGTGGAACTTTCTACTCTGTTGTTCTGAAATTTTAATGAATCAGATTTATCAGCATTTTCTTTTATGGCTAGTTTTATTTAGTGTCTTCTTTAAGAATCCTTCTTCTACTCCAAGATTTTGAAAACCTTACAAATATTTTATGGCTTTCTTTAACATTTTCTATTATGTAAACATCTTATAGTTTAGTTCATTAATCAAGTAGGAATTAACTTTTATGTGTTATATGAAGTAGAGGTCCCTAATTTTTTCCATATGTGCAGTACATTTTATTGATAATTGTGCAGTCTTTTAGTTATTCACATTTATCCTATGTTTCTCTTTTATTACATGAGAATACAAAATATCTGTGCTCTAAGTTTGATATATTAGCAGTCTTTAAAAATTTTACCATTTTTAGAAAGAATGCACTCATTCCTATTCTCTTACTTAGCTTTTCTCTGATTTCTGGTGAAGTTCAACATCTGTTAGTGTTTATTGACTAGTTCTATAGCTTTTGTGATTTTTTTTTATACATTGCCTATATTCTGTTGAAGTAGTCATATGTAGGTTTTGATTTGTAAAACTTTTTGCTTGTTATATTTTTACAGTTTGTGGATTGTTTTTGATGATTTTCAAAGAGGTTTTTGTGTTTGTTTTGTTTTGTTTTTGCAGTACAAGGGATTAAACTCAGAGTCTAATACTTGGGTAGGCAAGTACTCTGTCACCAAGCTATATCCTCAGGATTTTTTCATTTTCTTATTTTGAGATAGGTTCTAACTAAATTAACAAGGCTGGCCCTGAATTTGTGATTCTCGTACCTCAACCTCCCAAGTACCTGAGATTCATAGGCATGAACCACCACAACCAGCAAGTTTTTAGTTCTTGTGTACAAAAATTGCATATTTTTTATGTTTCTGAGTTGCATGTCATATTTAGAAAGGCTTTTGCCACTCCTGGTTTAAAATAATATAAATATGTTATGAATGATTTGTTTTTACTTTTCATATTTACCTTTTTAAGCCTCCTGAATTTGTTTAGTATAAAGAATAAGGTAGTATGGATTTCTAAATGGATATTCAGTTATCTCTGAATATAAATTAATTCCTTTCTCTTTGATTTCAAATGGTATGCTTACCATATACTAAATTCCTATATACACATGGCAACTTTTACACTTGCTATTATTGTCCTTTTATACCTCTTCTAAGCCACTACTGACATGGATGGTTAGCTTTATATTTTTTTTGTATACCTAGGATGGCAATTTTCTAGTCATATTATTATTCCTTGTTGTGAGGATCAAAATTGTGTGTTATGTGAAAAATGCTTTTCTATTTTTAAATCACCAAATGTAAGTAATTTTCCTCAAACTCAATTTTAATTTTCTTGAACTTTTATTTGCTGTTACTTATCATTTTATTAGAAAGTTAAAAATTTTTCATAAATATTATAAGCTCTGAGGACAAGGCTTTATAACTATATACTCAGTCAAACACAGTGCATAGAACATAGTGCTAAATAAATGTCTATTAAATAACCATCTTAATATTACCTACTACGTTCTTAGGTAATAACTGTGATAGTACAAAATATGATAACAAACTATATCCCTTCCAAAATATGTGATACTTTAGAAAATAAAATTTTTGGTAAATAATGGAATTTGGAGGAGAATGAAGGTACTATGACTTTAAGTAATTCTAGATTTCTTTTGTTTTTTGAGACAGAGTCTCACTATGTAGTTCAGGCTGGCCCTGAACTCACTGTGTAGCCCAGGTTGGCCTCAAACCCCTGGCGATCCTCCTGCCTAATCCTTCCAAGTGCAGGGATTACAGGTGTGAGCCATCATGCCCGGCTTGCCAGATGTTTTTATGTAATATTTATTTGTTCAGTATTCTTGAACTGTACATCTTCTATTTTTCACTTTACTTTTAGAAATTTTTATGAATAATCCAATTTTTAGTAATGGCATAGTCAATAACTTTATACTCAACTAAATAATGGATCTTAGAGACTTTTCCAAATATGTAGCATATTTTGGCTCATCTATGAATAGTATTTTACTCAGGTTTGTAGTGTATATGTTAATGCTGTAATAAAAAACTTTCTGTTTGTATTTCTTTTAATAGGGAGACATTTATTTAAAAATAGTCTGCTTTGTGCTTAAAATTAGTACAGTTAGGATCACTTTCCTATTTTCTGACAACTTATCTGTTCCTATATTACCTTATTCATTCTCTTCTTGAATCTGGGTCATCCTCCTTGTTATAAAAATATAACTGATGAGAATATGTTCACTTTATGTTTTCAAGCACATTAAAGCAGGGGGAAAATACAGTTGGAGCATCCATAATTCAAAATTCTGAAGTTTTGGAGAATCCACATTTTGGAGAATTTTACATTGTAGAATTTTTAATTAGGGACACTCAACTGAAGTCTATGCAAATGTTCCAAATTTATGGGGATTTTTTGGTACCAGGGATCAAACTCAGGACCTTGCACTTGCCAGGTAGGTGCTTGTGCTGCTGAGCTGTATCCCTGGCTTCCAAAGTTTGAAAACTCTGAAATACTTAAGTTCCCAAACATTTCAGATGAGGGATACTTAGCCTGCATTGTTTCACCCAGTTTTGTATCAGAGTGGGTGTTACCCTACATTAATTATCTTCTGTTCTTCCCCATGGGTCTGTGCTACAGGTCTCTATAATTTATGCTGTACCTCAACTTTCACATGATTAAGATTTCACTCTATCATTACCTCAAACTAGTACACTCTCAACTTTTGGGGAGTGTTCATCATTCTCCCAGCTCAGTCTGTAAGCTTTGAAATTATCCTTGTTATAGAATTAATAGATTCTTATGTTAAAGGAACTTAAAAGCCATTTGTCAAGCTTCTTGTTTGCATTCTCCTTTATTACAGTCTGTCCTTTACAGTTCCATTTGCAGTATTCTTGTTCCAAATTGGATTATTTATCTCTCTGCTCAAAAACGTTTTCCAGTTAACTAGTTAAAGCCCACACTCTTAAAATGTCATAGAGAGCCCTTCACACTTTGAGCTGAAACCAACTATTACAATGTATGGCCAGGTAGATGGTTCATTGGCTACCTCTAGAAGCCCTTTTTACATAATCATGATTTGACTGGAGCTTTCAGGGTTTATTTATTTATTTATTTATTTTTGGTTTGGTTTTTTTTTTTTTTTTTTTTTTTTTTTTGGTTTTTTTCTCTGGTACCGGGAACTGAACTCACGACCTTGTGCTTGCCAGGCATGCACTTTTGCCACTGAGCTAAATCCCCAGCCCCGCTTTCAGGGTTTAATTATGTGATAGTTGGTTCAATAATGAGTTTTGCTTTGTTGTTTCTTTTTGGGGGGTGGGTAGAAGGAGTGTTCTTTTACACTTTTAGTATTTGAACAGCTGGTGTAGCTATTTTTTTGTTCATTTTACATTGAACAGATCTTTTATAAAAAATGTGTTTGTTTCCCTTAAATGACTTTGCTAATGCCAGCTGGGAAATAATGGTAGCAGCCAAACTAAAATTTAACCAGTATGAGCAGTAGCCTGCAAAATATTTTGGCAACCTTTCCAAAAGCATTTTTCAAATATTAATTTGACTCATTAATTTTCTAAATTTTTAAAAAATTGACTTATTGGGGGGAATATACATCAACACTGCTAGCTAAGTTAATGGATCTTTTGTGTGTGCATAGATCATAGAAAGTTAGTGTTAATGTTCTAAAGATAGATGGTCTGCCTTTATGGAAAATACTGTTAAACTGAGAGAAATTTCATAATTGAAAATACACATAAAATAACAAATAATTTTTAATGCTTTATGATTACACTAGCATTTTCCAGAGATGGTACCTCAGAGAAATACTTCAAAAACATACTTTTGGCAAAAGGTTTTTGAAGACAAAATTTGCATATAGCCTGAATTACACTGGCAGATTTGTGGTGCATGCACAGAACTCCTTCAATAGGAGTGTGTATGTGTCTGAATGTGAATGTATAAGGGGTCTCTATTCTTGTTTAGTGTTGCTTAACTCGATGTCTGCCAAACTGACCAGGGAATTTTTTTTTCACATAGACTACTGTTTCATGAAATTCATTTTGGAAAGCGTTGCCTTAAATCTCTATAGCAAAGTTCGTGAGGATTCTGAAACATAAGATTATAATATATATGTACAAAAGCAAATTTTCTTTTATTATCTCCTTAATATTCTGAACTTTATTTGCTAAGTGGGAACACCAGCATCAGTTAAGAGAAAAGCCTCTCCCAACAAAAGCCAGAATGCAAACAATCACATTGAAAATTCTGAGTTGCCAGCATCATTGGAAGATTCAAATGATTACTTTCACAACCAAAAAAGGTAATTAGTACAGATGTTGATTTGTCGTGTCATAGGCTAAACTATAAGAAAAAGGATGTGGTATCCAGAGTACTGTTACAAGGACTTTTTAATTAGAATAAAGAATATAACTGGAATTAGTAATATTTTAAACTAAAATTACCCTCATTCTCATCTTAATTGTTATATACTAACATCTCTCTCCAATACAATGAGGGATAGTTTATTACTAAATTTATTTTTGTTGTGTGACATTTTTCTCATGAGGGAAAATCTAATGAGAAAATTTCTTTGCCTTTGTTAGAACTAATTCTTATTGCCTCATATTCTTTGATGTAGGTAAATTCTTGGTTATAGGTAAACTAATAAATATGTCTGAGTTTCACATTGCTATCATTTTATTCAAAATTACAGTGTTTAGACAACAATTTTGCTTATAATTTTTGAAATTAAGACAAGGGTTTCATAAATAATTATCCACAAAAGAGGTTTCTAAGATTTCTAGTTATTTTTCTTTGTTATCTATATTGGGCTATGATTTGTTTTTAGCTATAATATAATGAAATATGATTACATTACTTGTGATAAATGTAGTTTATGTTGATCATTAATAAATTTGAAAGAAAATATAATAATGGCTTCAAGCTAAATTCTTTTTCTTTTTCTAAGAGATGGGGTCTCACTGTGCTGTCCAGGCTGTTCCTAGACTCCTAGACTCAAACAGGAAGTAGACTTCAGCCCCTTTAGTAGCTGCCACCCTGCTTGGGTTTTTAAACTGAATTTAAAGATTTTAAATTTTATAACTGCATTTGTAGGTCATCAAATAAAATATATAAAATATGCATATATGACTATGAAAGTTTATGTTCATGAGATCATATTTTAATATGACTTTTAAATCTGTCCTATTTAAGTGAATTTCTTTGGGAAAATGAAGATCAAACCAGAAGACTGGACAATCAGGTATGATTTTTAAATTTTTGTTTAAATGTAACATTGCAGTCTAATATATGTACAGAAGTTTAAACTGCAGATTAAGATATCTGAGCTTTCTAGTTATAACACCTAAAAAAGTATATTCTTCTAATATCAATATTGTCAATGATAGTCCAAGTTTTGTTTCTTTTGTAAGTGAATAAACAGTATGTCTAAATGAGAGGAAAAAGTGATGCTCTGATACTTTTTTGGATTTTTTTTTTCATTGACCTTTACTTAACTTGCAGCTTTAGTAGCTAATTTATAGTTGAAGACTGTACTGGATTAACTCAGGTCTTTAGAACAGATTTCTATAGTGTGATAAGAGGTAGTATATAGTAGTTATTTACTACTAGTTACTAGTTGCTACCTTTTTACCTTAGATATGTTATGTAATTTTAAGTGCAGTAGTTCAAAAGAGTTAATGAACACTATCCATTTCACCAGTTTATTCTCAAAAAATGATGGAGAGACTGGGAGAATTTTGCAAATATTTGCATGATAAACCTAGCACCTTTGTAAGATGCTGGCAATAGTTTTAGTGATAGTTAACAATGGGTACCAACTAATAGTCACTATTCTAAGTATCTTACACATACCAATTCATTTAATTGCCACAAAAAGCCCTGTAATGTAGATTATGGGCAGCATCCCCATTTTACAGGTGAGAAAACTGAGGCTCAATTACTTGCCCATGTCATAATATAGGTAGTAAGTAATGGAGCCGGGAGTTAACCTTAGGCTATCTAGACTAGATCCATAGTTCATGCTCTTTACTGCTATAAGAACAATCTAGATAATAATGGTGATGTAGTAATAGTCAATTATATAGAATTTATTGGACCAATTGCTGTTATAGGTACTTCATGTAGGTTAAGTCATTCACTTCAGCATTTCTGAGAAGATACTATTTTCCTTTTCCAATTGGAAGACTAAAACCATTAACTTGTCCACAGTTAACAGTCTTTCACACTCATCTGGCAAAACATCAACACAAGTTAATAGGAAACAAACCTCCAGTGAAACTTTCATTCTGCCATCAAGTGCAAACTACATTTTTCTGGCCCATTACTACCCTTCTAGAGGACTCTGTTACATGTTCTCCTCAAAATGTCAATACCTTTTTTCTCTTTCCATCTTGGTGATAACATTTCCTTCTGAATTTTGAAGAGAACTGACACATTTAAAACTTTTTCATTCATCTGGATCGAGTAAAACCTATGTAGGAAAAGCTCCAAATCACAATATTTCCTTTATTTTTGTACATTTAAAACTTTCTCTAGTACAGAAAAGGGCAAAAGTATAGAAAAGGGCAAATTAAACCCTTCAATCTGCTTAGTAAGGTCTGTGGGCTCAGAATGTTTTGTTTTGTTTTGTTTTTACTGTTTTACAGAATTCTAAAAAAGAAAAACAATATATGTCAGAGACTATATATGACGAACACATTTACTACCCTGTGACCCTTTACATAAATTGGCTAACTCCTGCTCTAGAGTCTTGAGACTTCAAAGACTTGGCTAAAAAAATCCTTGTTTTGTTTCCCTTCAGTGTATTTAAAATGTTGCTCTAAACGAGGTATGGTGGCACATGCCTATAATCCCAGCCCTCAGGAGGCTGAGGCAGGAGGATTGTTGTGAGTTTGAGGCCAGCCTGGTCTACAAAGTGAGCTCAAAGCCAACCTGAACTGCATAGCGAGACCCTGTCTCAAAAAGACAATCAATCAATCAATCAATCAATAAATAAATAAATAAAATGTTGCTCTATTGATGTCTTACATTATATATCATTGTTATGAAGTATTGTTCCAACATTATTTTTCTTTTCTTTGTAAACTTACTTGGGTGGTTTTCCCTGGAAGGTCAGAGAATTCCTTTAATCTGTATACTTTTCTCCAGGCTATATCTCAATTGAGAACTTGTATAGTTTTTCGGGATGTAAAGCAGCAGAACTTATTTTCAGTATGAAAATCAGGACTTCTTTTATTTCAAGAATATTTTTAAATTTTACATAATATTTCTGTTGTTTTATTTTTCTTTTTCAAGGATCACAGTATTAGATCTTCTTTACATTTAGTATGACTTTCTGATTGATTTATCACTTTCTTTATATTTTATTTTCTTGGCTCTTTTTATTTTTCTACTCTTTATTATCCTTACTGCATTTTTGGTCATGTCTGCTTCTCTGTTGGACACTTGCTAACTTGTTTTAATTTCTGAGCTAACTTTTTCTTTAACTTCTTGAATTTGACCAATGTCCATTTTATGTTTTCCTGTTTTAAAATTTTATTCTGCGTTTTTCTTTAAATTTTTGTTTTATGGTGTTATCTATAAACACTTGGCGTTGTGGCTTCTATTTAGATGTTCCCTCAAAGCCTCATGTGGCCATAAGTGGGGCTTTTTGGAGGTGGCTGGATGTACAGAATGTGATACTGGGATTAAGGCTGTGATACTGGGATTGATTCATAATGTGATGCTAAGATTAAGGGTATCCCACCCCAGATAGGGTGTAAAGGATAGAAAATGAGCTGCTGTTGCCATCTGTCACTTGCTGCTTGTTACTTTGCTGCTTTGCTGCCTTCTGCCTGCCATGAACTGTTTTTTTCTCTGATACCCCTTTGCCATGCTACCCTGCTAGGAAACTAGACTGCTAGGAATACCTAACTGGACAGGGTGAGTAGAAATTAAAGACAAGACACAGAGATAATTTTGAGAAAGTGGGCCAGGGGGCTCTGGCCTTCAGTGGACAAAGAACCCTGAGCATTTGACTTACTTTGCTTTTATTTACTTAGACACAGGAGTAAGTAATTAGTGTAGCAGAAGATTTATCTGCCTCCTATTATCTATAGTATATGCCCATAGAAACAACCAGATCGCAGCTGTGTTGACTCTTGCTTGGAACTTGCAATGTGCCAGCATGCCCGCATCTTGCCAAAGGAGCACAACTTGCTGTTTTTCTCCTTTGTGCTTGCACAGAAGGTCAGTTAGGCCTCCATCCTCATTGTCTGGTCTCCTATACCACCCTTCCTTGGAGCCAGTTGACTATGAACTTAAACTTCTACAAACTGGGAGCCAAAATAAACCTTTTCTCCTTTAACTTTTGGTGTTGTTTAACCAAGTTTCTCATTGTCTCACCAATGAGAAAAAAGTAACTAAAATTATATTTAATCTATGTTAGGAGCATTTTTCTCTGTTTGTATACTGTTTTTTGGCTTATTTTAGTTCCAACGTTTTCTTCATAAATTTCAGATGCTGTAATACTTTGTAGATTTTGTTTATGTTTACATGTGCTTGAGTTTCCAGTAATAATAGGTATTCTTAGGGAGGAACAGGGAGTGGTGGCCTATCTTTTGTCTTAGATGGGGAGCACCCTCTTCTGTTGTTATAGTGAAATGCCCTTCTTCCTCTCCTTTTTAAGTAAATAAGACCTTTGAGGGAAGAGGTCTAGTTTTTGTTTTTTATTCTTTTTTACTAAATTTAGTGCTCTTATCTTGGCGATTTTCTTTTATTCTGTCACCAAACTAGCCTACAAAGAGACACTCTTCCCTCCCAGGGCATTTTCCTTTCACTCAGAAACTGTACCTTCCAATGATTGCCAACTCTGGCACCCTACATTTCAGGCCCTCTCTTTTATACCCCTCATAGAAAGTGCTGTGATCTGACAGATCTCTGTTCTCAGTTCTTCACCACTCCAGTGGCAGCCTGTCCTTCCCCACTGAACTATGTTATCTGTGTGTAGTGCTCTCTGATGCATAGTCCACATCAGAGACTCTGCCCAGATGTGAGCTCCTGACCACATTAAACTTAGGCTCCTTATTTTCCTATTTACATGTAAATTGAAGGATTCTATGTCCCATTTAGGCTATAGGCATAAGGTATGTATAAGACATGTATATAATTTTATTTAGTTGGAAGGATGTGCACAGAGATTCTAATGTATATGGTTTCTGTAACCCTGTGAGAATTTTATTGTATAAATAAAATAAAAAGCTAGAAAAATAATAAAACAAGTAGGAGTTAGAACTCAATAAAGTTAAAAGTAGAAACTAAGTTAGAGGGGAAAAAAAGCAGTTCAAGGTCTATAAGGTAGTAAGTAGCTGGAGAAACATCAACATGGTAAGGGTTAAGGTGGTTTATCAAAAAATGGTAGAAGCATGAAAATTAGGAAAGATGAAAGCAGAGAAGATAAAATACATAAAAATAAAATGTAAAGCTGCTAAGCTTTTAAAAATATGATAGAATCATTAATTTTCTAAGTAAATATAAATGATCAAAATTAACACAAGGTGAAAAGAAATAGCCATCCTAGAAAATTTAAGAAATTATCATATGAAGTAACTGAGACCAGAAATCTTGGAAAGAAATCATATTTGGAAAGAAAAATAATAGATTCAATGTCTTTGTTTAAAGTGTCTGTGTATAATGCCCAAGCAGTGAAGAGACTGGAGCGTGAGTGAGAATCTGTAATTCTATAAACCAAAATTGAGAGTTCATCACTGTATAAGAGAAAAAATACTCATTGCATACGACAAATGAAGAAATTGTAGCCTAATAGCTCTTACTGACTTTCATGCTTGCTTGTAGACAGATGAAAAGGAGCATATCCTTCTGCCAGACCTTATTGATTTCCCTTCATTTCCTTGTCAACGACAACCTGTTCTTTCTTCAGACGTAACAGATATCTCTTCATTACAAATTGAGAGTAAGTATTGTAAGTAACAGTTTCTGTTATCCTGTGAGAATTTTATTGCATAAATTAATAAAATAAAAAGCTAGAAAAATAATAAAACAAGTAGGAGTTAGAACTCAATAAAGTTAAAAGTAGAAACTGAGTTAAAGAAGAAGAAAAAAAGAAACCTAACAGAATCCAAAGCAATTCAAGGTCTATAAGGTAGTAAGTAGCTGGAGAAACATCAACATGGTAGGGGTTAAGGTGGTTTATCAAAAAATGGTAGAAGCATGGAAATTAGGAAAGATGTGCATTTATACTTGAGTCTGTGAGGTAAGATTAGGTATATCAGTGAGGAATTATTGTTTAATGGACACAGTCTCAATTTGAGAAGATCAAAAATATCTAGAGACAGATGGTACTGATCATTGCACAACATGTATTTACTTAATGTCACTGAGCTGTATACTTCAAAATGGCTAAAATAGTAAATTTTGTTAGGTATATTTGACTGTAAAAATATGAATTTTATGTTGATTATGGCATATATTTACTCACTAATTTTTTGTGAAGAAATATTTTTATTTTAATGTAATACAAGTAGATATTAATAAAATATAAAAAAACTTTTCTTCTATGAAAAAAGAAAAATTTCATAACAAAATGAGAGAAAAATAATGGTTAATATACCATGTATCATGATCTTACACATTTTCCATGTAAACTATAAGTACAACTTTGGGCCCAAGATAAACTTACCAAAAGAAATAAAGCAAAAATATAAGCATAATGACTTGAGCTTTACCTAGTCTCTACCCATATATGTAAATGCAAAGGGACACTCACTATTTTATAAATCTAGTTGTAGAAGTCCACATAATTCCTCCACATTCTCCATAATGGTAAGTGCAGCAAGAAAAACAAGTCTCAGGCAAAATTCATTCTTGCTGTTTTGGACTCTTAAATTTACAGTCCGTCTTTTAGAATGTAAAGTATCATTTAGCTTTTTAGCACTGATGAGCACGTGTTATAATCTCTTTAGGACAAAGTATTATTGAACAAATGAAACAAGTAAAGGAAGAAAGAAGATATCTGGAAAGAATTAGAGAAGAGCTAATAAAAAAGGCTGAAAAACTATTTGAACAAAACAAATTGAAGCAACATCATGGTAAAGTTTATTACATTGATTTTGTCACTATAAAAAACTTTTATGGAATTGATACTTTTTAAATAAATAATAGTTATAATTAATATTTGCTGTCTTACTGTAATAGTTTAAGTGACACATGAAGTAAATTCAACATAGAAACCATGAAATCATTATTCAACTCTTTTATTCAGTAAATTCCTTACATAGAATTTTGTAAATTAAAACTCAAATATTTTTATAAGTGAAATTCATTCATTTATTAAGTAAGTATTTATTATATGCCCACTGAACCTAGTCACTGTTCTAGGGCCTGAAGAGACACTAAAAGGAAGACCCATTCTTGTCCCTGTCACTTATAGAGCTTTTGGTCCAGTGGAGAAATGATAATCAAGTTAAGCATTAATGATACCTCCTACTGAATGCTATTATAAAGGAATTACAAAACTGTATAAATACGAATACAAAGGAAAAGCATCTAAATTACATTGAATTGGTTAAGAGGAGCTTACAAAAAGTGTTGCATATGCCAGGATGTGAAATGTGCTTATCTCCAGGCCTTCGGCATGCTTTTCCCTCTGCCATGTACTCTTTTCTTTTTTGCGGGGTGGGCAGGTACTGGGATTGAACTCAGGTCCTTTGCACTGAGCTACCTTTAAGCTCTTTTTAATTTTAATTTTGAGACGGGCTCACTAAGTTCCTACATTGCTCAGGCTAGCCTACAACTTGCAGTCCTCCTGCCTCACCCGGTTGGAGTGTTGGGATGGTATCCAGCGCCATGTACTTCACTTTCCTTACTCTCATTTCTTACTCTAGTCTTCTTTGTAGGAAATAGTCATTTCACAGATTGCTTAGATAACACTTTAACAACCATCTTTGGGTTCCTTGGATTTCTTTGGGTGATTAACTTTGGGATATGTTTGTCTGCCTGCCTTGCTAAAGTGAACAAATGAGAGAATTTAGGAAAAGTAGGTCATTTTCTTGCAGTAGAATTAGAAACTGTGTTGTTAGGATTCATAGGAATGGAAAGGGTGCAGAAAGTATAGGATAATAGTTTTAGAGATGTCAGTATTATTTTGAGAGTCCCATGTTTTGGATTATGTTTAAAGATTACAAGGATGTAAGGCTTGAGGTATCATAATAAAGAAATTTGGTTATAGGATTTTCAGTTTAAAATTGTTATTTCAGTACTTGAACTGATTGTCTGTAGACAATATCAAAAGAAATTTTGGAAGATTCTGCCTCACAATGTTAAATTATCCTGGAAGAGATGGCAGTGGCTCAGTCTTGTGATAATGTTAAAAGAGCAATTTTATCAGACAAATTTAAACAATGGACTAGAAATCATGAGACCTGAATTCTAATACCAGATGTCTTTTACTTAGGCATGTTATTTTTCATCCTTGCCTCTCTCATCTTTGTGTATATAAAATGCAAATGGTCAGTCACTTTCCACTTTAAAAGGAATGTTTCAAGATAAAAAGGATGTTACCAACTATCAAATATTTAATGAGCCTCCTATATACCAGGCATTGTTTTAAGTGCTGAAGATACAGCCGTGACAAAACAGATATGGGCCTGCTATCAAAGTGCTTGCTTCCAAATGGGAGTAGACAGACAATGAACAAATAAGTAAAACAATATAAGCAACTGATCAGAGTACAGGAGCCAGTGCAAGAAAACAGTAAAGTGTGATGCTGCATGGGAGAGATTCCTTAGTTAGGGTTTTCAGGGAAGGCATTTCTAAAGAGACATTAAAATTTGATTAATAAGGAGGGTGGTATGTTAAAAAATATGTTTGTATTTGATTTTTCATAGCCTGTGGTGGTTGGAAGAAAAAATACTTGGAAACAAAGAAAATCACATCATCATTGGAGGAGATTTTAACAAAACTTCGAGAAGATTTGGAACTTTACTATAAAAAGTTGCTCATGCAGCTTGAAGCCAGGGAGATCAAGATGAAACCAAAGAATTTGGCAAACATTTCAGACTCCAAGGTCCTACTGTGTTTCCCTTCTACTAAAAAATTTGTGTTAAAATTACATGATTAATAATTGTTAGTATTATCATGTTCAGGATGCTTTGGGCTACAGGTAACAAAACACTGACTTACGTTTGCTCAGACAGTAACAAAATTCCTGACCCCATGTAATGAGAGGAGTACTACTGAGGAGATACAGTCACAGATTTATGATGTCTTTAAGGGCCTTGGTGCATTCCATATTTCTTATTATTTTTAGTGTTGGCTTCATTGTAAGGCTGTTTTTTCTCATAGTAGCACTATAGTTGCCAATGACAGGTAGGGCTATGTATCTTCAAAACAAGAGAGAAACTTCTCCTTGAATCATGGAACATATAAACTTTTCCCTTTAGCTGTCTAGGATCTCAACCAGACGTAACACTGGAACAGTAATAATTACCAAGGAAGGCTATGACTTAGACTAGAATTTTAAACTTTACAATGCTAAAAAGAAGTACATAGTAGACAGTGAGTCCTCTCATCTACCTCAGTATGAGGATGGGGCCACATTTCCTGACTTTATGAGATAAATACTTAATGAAGTAGGGTAGGGAGTTAATAATGTCCACTACAGTGCTTTTTTTTAAGGAGGTTAAGGATTATAATTCCCATATAATTTAAAGTATTGATATTCTACAGAAAGTATGAAATTTTTATCAATTCATTTTTTCTTGAATATTAGATTAGTTTATTATTAATTCTACCATACAATAAACAAGACAAAAACAATTCCAGTTTGATTTTTATTAGGTTGATCCTACTATCCAAAACATTTAAAAATATTTTAATTATGACTATGTAAAAGTCTAACTTTAGACATGATGAAATATTAAAAGTTTACTGTTTTGTTTAAATTGAATGTAACATCTAAGTAAGCTCAAATAATTGTCCATATTAGTTGATTTTTTTAAAACTTAACTGATATTTTGTATACTATTTAGTTCAACAAGTTCAACATAAAACTTTTCACACAAAGGCAGTTCAAACTTCTTAAATAATTTCTTGGGTGGGGATATAGGTAGAATGCTTGTCTAACATCCATGAGGCCCTAGGTTCAACCTCCAGTAGTACCAAAAACAAAAACGAAAAAACTTCTTTAATAAGATCACTATACCTCATAAAGTTTTCTGGGCAAGAGTAACCCATAATATCCTTATTTTAATATATAAAATTTAATGTCTTATTATTATTTTCAAACTATTGTCAGAGTCAATTAATTATTATGTAATTTCTGAACTGATAATATCTTAAACCTAATTTATTCAATTTATATTATATAATAATAGTTACTGGTATTTATGGTACTAATTTATTGTTAACTTTTACATATACCTATTTTTAAAAAATAGGTAATGATAAAGTAGTCCCTAAATTCAAGAAATTAATAAAAAATAGTGGTAATTTGTATCTGTATAAGCTTTATTGTTGCAAGACAAAATACATGACACTCACAACTTAAAGGAGAATTTTACTTTGGTTCATGGTTTCAGAAGATTCAGTCCATGGTAAACTGGCTCCAAGGCAAAAATGCCACGGTCAAAGGGCCTAATAGAGGAAAGGTGTTCAAATCATAGCAGATGAGTAGAGAAGGAGAAAGAGTCAGAGAAAGTGATATACCCTCCAAAAATACCCCCAGTAATCTACCTCCTCTAGCAGGGCCCCACCTCTGAACTGAACATTCAGCTATGAACCTATAAGTGGATTAATCCCCAGATAACCACTATGATCCAATTTCCTTCCAAACCCCCACCTCTTAACACAGAGACTTTGCAGGGACATTTTAGGCCTAAACTACAACAATACCAAAGCAATGCATTTATTTATAGAATAGGATATTTCATTTTTTATTGTTTTAATATTTATCACTTTATGATTTATGTTTGCAAAGAGGTACAAAATGCCTCCCATGAAAATGTATGGATGTTACACTAAATAAATATATTCATGTGTTTCACAGAATTACCTTATAATACAGATCACTGAAGTACAGCATGCAATTGACCAACTTAAGAGAAAACTGGATACTGATAAAATGAAACTCATAATAGAAGTTAAGGTAATTTATATTTCTCATAATTATATTACAAATTCATCTTTAAATAAAATACTTTAATATTCTGATTTGGTTGTTGATAGTATATGGGTAGTCAGGGTTGACAAAATTATTACTTTAACATTAAAGAACATGAATGAAAATAATGTAAGCAGAAAAACTCAATTCTGTGAAAAGATGCATGTTATAACAAGTCCAATGGAAGATTTAGTAACATTGTTTAAAACCAAAAAGACTTTGTGAGTCAGCATAGTTTCAATATTTTTAATTTTCCAATGTGTAATTTTTAATAAGTCTGACAAACCTCTGAGTTCTCCTTTAAAATACCATTTAATGTTTTCTCCTCTCCTGGGTAATTCTGAGTATTTTCATATATATTTTATTTCTTTTTAATATGAATCAAGGTTTATCTTGAGATCAAGGTTTATCTTGGAGATGATAAGTTTTCCTCCAGGTAGATTCCTTTACTTAACTTTGTTTCTACCATAGCACCTTTTGTATAGTGGATCTGTAATAGCAGGTTCTGGCCATACTTCACTTATTTCATAAAATAAGTTTTTAGGACAACTCAATATGTATTTTTCTTGTATACTGATAAAGGAAATTGTCTCATAAAACATCTGGTTAGATAAGCATGTTTATTACACAGAATTTATGGCATTTAAGTTTTAGTAATCCACGAGGAATGAAGGCATGGAAAGCAACTGAGAAGACAAAAGCAGTTTACAAAATGACAATGCAAAGTACCTTTGGAAGGGTATGATGAAGTTCCTTTTTGAAAAATAATTCTTTTTACAGATGAGAAAACAAGCAGTTTCAGATTTACAAACACTGAAAACTGAACTGGCACAGAAGAAAATTAGTCCTTTTCAATCTCTATTAGGTATGTCAATTTAACTTATTTGTCAAAGACTTTCAATATTTATTTGAATAATTCTCCTTGTTAATGTTTTACATAAATCATAAGGTTTACCTGCTTTTACTTTTAATGTGGTTATTATAGTTTTTTAGAGGAAAAAAATTAGATATAAAATAGTGGCTATTTTTAATATTTCAAGTCTATTACCTATTATGATACAGTATTATATTTTATACTTACTTTATATTGTTAATAATCTTAAACTTTAAGAGCCAGTATGATTGTAAAATCTACTTACAGCTGGGCATGGTGGCACACACCTGTAATCCCAGCACTCAGGAGGCTCAGGCAGGAGGCTTGAGTTTCAAGGCCAGCCTGGGCTACATAGTGAGTTCTTGGCCAGCCTGAACTACCCAGTGAGACCCTGTCTCAAAAAGCAAAAAAAAAACAAAAAAAAAAAAACAAGAAAAAGAAATACTTATAAAGTGAAAATGGTTTTAATAAATACTGATATATTTCCATGAAAACAGAAAGTTAATCTGTTCATTGTACCTTGATTAAAAACAACTGCATGCACTCTGAGATTAGTATCTAAGAATTTAAATTTTTATCAATGTATTTTATAAATATAAAACAATTTAGAAGTATAAGGTGATTATTTTAGAAAGAAAAAGTAACTCAATAGATACAATTACATATTAACCAGGTATGGTGGTCTATGCCTGTAATGCTAGCACCTTAGGAGGCTGAGGCAAGAAGATCACAAGTTTGAGCCCAAACTTAGCAATATAACAAAATCTTATCTCAAAATAAAAATAAAAAAGAGGCTGCAGATGTACTCCAGTATCATGAAAAAGTATATATACATACATATATATGCATACACACAGTATATTTTGTTTGTATAAAACTATACACATGCATACATAATATGTGGATCGCTAATATTACTTTGACATAAACAATAGCATAAATAGGAAATACAATATTCTCATAACATGGTTGAAATTATTAAAATGGGGGACAGTGTGCAAGAAAGACAGAATTTATGTAAATCTAGAGCCCAAGAATTCAAAATTTTAATCTATATACTTACAGGAGCTAATACATGTAAGTGCAGCAAAATGTTCTTAATTGTTTGGACAAGGAGAACAGAGATTTCTTTATATTTATAAAGGTTTTTTGCATAAAATTAATCTTGTAGAAAGAAGAACTAATTGAGAAAATGTCTTTAGATAATTAAAAGTAAAATGAGATATAAAAAAGAAAATTTTAACCATGAAAACTTTCCAATTAATTATAAATGTTAATAAACAAAGTAATATTAATAGAAAGTACAAATGACAGTGAATAGAATCAAGTTCAACACCAATTTATTCCTATTATTAAAAAGTTTGCAGATAAATCTCATATAATATTAATTGGAAAATATTAGGTGGCCCTAATTTACTAATTCAGAATGTTACTAAGTCATCTCCTTATATTTTGTGAGTACATTTAATCCTTTGTATTCCTTTTGTTTTCTCACTAACTGCCTGAAGGTTTAAGTGTCTATACGTTAAGTACCTCAGAGAACACACGTGTACTATAATGGAGTCTGGAAGCAGAAAAACTATTCTCATCAATTTGTGAGCCTAAAGAAGAGACATTAAATTCCAGGCTTCAAATTTAAGATTTATTGGAAAAAATACAAACCAAATTATCTCTCAAAGGCTAGGTTTCAAAACAATCTCTTCTAAGCAAACAATTTCCACTCACGTTACATGCATTTTTTAATCATTGATTTATAAAGGTATATTTTAATATCAGAGGGGGAAATTTAGCATAATAAAATTTTGAAAGCAATTTTCTCCTAATTGTTGTGTTCACATATTTTACAGAACATTTAATATAGTGTGCTGACTTGTTTCTTGCCTGTATGGACCTGGATATTTTTGATAAAATATCTTTTCAAATTCACTCAAAGCACTTCTTTTTTTATCTTTTCTTTAATATACTAAAAATATAGCAACATGACAAAAATTTATTTTTTATGTCGATACTGTACTATATTTATACAGATCAATTTTTTATATCTTAATAGTTTGACAAAAGATCTTTGTCTGTGTCACAACTTTGGCTTTAAGACTTCCCACATTTCTTCAGTTTGTTGTTTGGCTATAGCATCTCCAGAGTAGTCAAGACAGTTTGCATTCCACATACCAATGCCCCGTAAGCCATAGTTTTGTATATATGCTGCCTTTAAAGAAATGCTCTGAGGGTTATCATACCACACTTGATGAAAATGGCCAGCAGGATCCTATAAAAATAAATTAAAATGGAAATTTGAAGTACAGTAAGAGAGGGAAAAATGTTTTAATTCCAATGACCTAAAAAAGGATACATGAAAGAAAAATTTTATAACACAATACTTTTCTGCTCTACCATTCTATAATTTTATACTTTCTAAATATTGTTCATGGTACTTCTAACAATAAGTATTACACAAAGGAGCTTCCTAATGTTCTCTATTTAATTTCTTTCTCATGTCCCAAGATTCTTTCCCGGATCTATTGCAATCATTCTCAACCAAGATACTCATCTGAATCATTCTTGAGCTTTGAAAAATACAGATTCCTAGACCCCATACCACATAAACCCTACTGAATCAAAACCCTCCAGGGCTTGTGCTAGAACATACCTATGTTGTTTGTTCTGTGTTAGTTCCATTTGGTACCTCTGATATGCAGTCAAAGTTAAGAAGAAATCACTGCTCTGGTTTGCTAAAATCAGCTTACATATTTTTCTTGTTTGTTACAGTTTCTGGAAGTGTGCCTAGCTAGGAGCTGAACAGATGATTTTATTTACACTAAATCAGCCAAATTAAAAGGTAATGACAACAGAGGAGGAAAGTACCTACTTTTCTAGGTGTTGCAGAAATGATTCCAAGAGGCCGTTAGAGTTGACTGCATGGGTAATTAACACATACCTGAATAAGAACTATAAACAAGGTTCTCTTATACATACTTTCTACCCTGCATATATCTGTCAGTAAGCACTCCAGCTACTGGTTAAAGGATAAAGGAAAGAGTAGATCTAGGCAAAAGAGCAAAGGAAATACAAAAAAACTAGGTAAAAATAGAAAGACCTGTGACTAATATAATTTACTGATTTTTATATACATCTGGGAAACTTCTTAAAGGCAATCCTGAATGAAAGCCATGTATGTTTCTTTATGATAGCACTCCCAGAGTTAAAACAATAGTTATTGGTAAATGCATAAACTGTGGCACATTTATGTATAGGAGATTATTACATACCACTGTATCTCATCCTATATCTGTATCCTATTCACATGTTAAAAAGTAGACAAACCTACGAATTTACTAACTATTGTGATCTCACTGTTAAAACTCAATTTATAGCATTTGTACATAAATACAAATGAATTTCTAAGAGTGTGGAGCAAACCCCACTCCATCTGCTATCATTCTAGCTGGTACTTTGAGCTTTTGTGATATTGTTAGGAAATTTTCAAGTATATCTAAATAGTGAAAGATCAATGGGTGAATACTGATTTAGGCATGGTTAAAGCATACCTAGTACCTTCTGAAATATTTAGTCCAAAGTGAAGCTACTATTGGTGAAACAGCATATAAAGGTAAAAGAGTCTCATCAAACACAATAGAAACTGCAATTTTGGTTACACAGGAATTTTACAATGACTAAAACAGAGGAACAAAACAGTTTTATCTACATTGTTTTCTAAAGTGCCATTAAATGTCCTTCAAGGCTCACCAAAATGTTTCCTCATTCTGTGAGCATAAAAAATGTGGGTAGAAGGAATAAGTTCTGGTGTTCCCCAAAAGAGAGACATAATGACAATAGTTTATAATAATGTATCACATATTTTAAGAAGATACAGAAAAGATGAGCTAATGGGCTCCAAACAGGAGAGAAATACTACTTACCCTGATCTGATCAGTGCATATTATTCATGTCTTGGAACAACACATTGAAACCCATTAATATATACAATTAATACATTTAATAAAAATATGTATCTTAAAAAGTGATTTTTTAAGGAAATAAAATTTGCATGCTTAACTCTTAAGAAACAGCATGTTCCTCATGTTAGAATGACTAAATTGATGGCTATCTGAAGTCATGAGTAGGGGAAAATAAGCGATGTTGGTCAAAGGACGTAGCATTTCATTAGGAGGAATAAATTCAAGAGAGATCTAGCATACCATTACAACTAAAGAGCAATGTATTTTATATTTGAAAATGGCTGAGAGTAGATTTTAAGTGTTGTCACCATAAAAAATAATTATGTAAAGTAATACATATGCTAGATACCTTGAGTTAGCCATTTACAATATATGAATATATCAAAACATTTGTACAACATAAATATACACAATTTTCGTTACCATTTAAAAATTTTTTTCATCTTCTCATCAGTGAAAAAATAAGATTATTAAAAACAGTACATCCTAATATACATCATTATTTCATATTAAATACTTCTAAATTATATGTAGTTGGCTACCATAACCTTTAACAAACTATATTCATGAAATACTGTTCTTTATCTGTTTCTATGAGTGCTATTAAACAGGTTCTTTGTTAAACAACTAAATGGTTTTCTATATTGCAGTACTTCTCAAACCCCTTAAAGTAATGTTGTATATTAGAAGTCTCCAAGAGGGACATACATTATATAGTGTTTACTAAATATACTTGGCTGTGGCACATGTGTGTATATTTGTACACATGGGTATATACATGCATGTGTATAATTTAATGGTTCTAGAATATTCTGTAATGCTATTTAGTTTCAATTCTAAGGTTTAGAAAGCTCACACTAAAGCTTACTATACAATTGATATATAGGCATATAACCATATATTAGTTATAGTTTTTACATAGTAGTATGTTTGTGGTCATTTTTTATGAATGAGTATTAGATCACTAGTCAAGAACATAAATCTTCCTCAAATTAATTTTATCATTTCAGGACACCTTTTAAAGTTACGTGATTTACAGCAAACATAAAGATTATTTATACTTAGATTTTTGAAGTGCGAAGTTTTAATTATGCTAAAGTTAAATTATGAAAAATATAATTTGTTTTTTATTAAAAACAAACACAATTCTTGTTTATTAAACACTACCAATCAGAATTCCTAATTGCTTACTGTATTTCCTCAGGTTTCCTTCTATAATATTTTTCTGTCTCTTATATTTTTAACATTTTTGTTTCAATTATGAAATAATTTTGAAATGATAGTTTTTCATTGTAAAATCAGTGATGATTTATCTGCTGTCAACCTCATTCCTCCCTAAGAGACTCATCAGAATCTTCAGGCTATTTTGAAATGGAGCCCTTTAGAGCTAATAGCCTACTTTGGCCCAAAGCCCTTTCAAAGCAAATCATCATGACCTAATTGTTCATTATTGAGGAAGTCCTGTTTGTGATGTGTTATGTTTTTATAGCATCATCTAAAATGCAGTGGGGCAAGCAGAGTATTGCACTTGAATTAGCATTATCTGAGTTGCTCCTCAGGGAGCTAAATTCCTGATTATATAGATTCAAAGTCAGGTTTACTTGCGTAAACAGCAGTCTGTGTGTTCTACCTTAAAAGAACACTGATAGAAACTCTTAACCGCAAATATCTAATTACAAAAATATAAACTTAAGAAAACCAGCAGAATAAATGTTCATAGGTTTTGTGGAAATTCTTACTTTATAATTATAATAAGGAGCCTGCTGAGCTTTATTCCACTGGCTTCCAGAAACAGAACTATTTATTTGCTTCATGATTGTTTTATAGGGCACTTGTCGTCCCGCAGCATCACTACAAGGAGCCCCCCGGAAAGGGACTTTCGCAATGGTACAGACATGATCCTAGAAATGCAAAAACGTTCATGTTACAGATTACCAAGCACATCATAAGAGACAAATTTTAAAAAAACCCAAAAACTATTCATTAGAAATAAAATGTACGCTATAAATAGGTAACCTGATTATGCAAAGGAAAAGACAAATAAATTTCATTATCAAATAAAAATGTATAGGGCTGTGGATGTGGCTCAGTGGTAGAGCTCTTGCCTTGCCTGCAGAAGGCCTCAGGTTTGATGCCCAGCACCACAAAAGAAAAGAGAAAAGAAAATGTGTAACATTCAAAAACTTCCACTGTACTAAATAAAAATAAATAAAAATTTTGGTCTCAAGCTATATCTCAGAAATTCTAAATAAAGTTTATATAATACCAATGAAATAAAAGAAAATATAAAAATACACAATAGGAGAGAAAATTATGTGACAAATGACCTATTCTTACCTCAGAAAGGTTCAGGCAGGGATAATCATAACCATACCAAGGAATACCCATTACAAGTTTCTTAGGGCTAATGCCCATCTTGATGTAGTCACTATATCCTAGTCAAGTGAGGACATAAAAACATATTTTTTCTCTTCATATATCTGTAAATGTGTCCATATAAGCTATGCAACTTACTCAGAATCTAAGTTTGTAAAAACAGGTGCACTTACATAACATACTTATTTTCTATTGTATAGTATTATAAAAGTCATCCCTTAAGAATTATAAACCCATATCTTGCTTTCTAAACCACTTTTTTCATGAAGAAATTGAAATTATATATATAAACAAAATTCACAAAAGTCTAATTCTAGGAAAAATGACACATTTCAGGAATGCATGTTAATTTTATTAACTGCTAAGACATGATATATTTAATATCTAGATTCTAACGTTTCAAAAAGTTCTATAAATCTTAAACATTCTGGCAGCTATGCAATCAGACGTTCTCATAGAAAGCACATGGAGCTCCATGTTTTATAAATTACCTATTAATATCCTAATGGTATCTATGGGTAAGAGATAGCCTCTCCTATTCCATACTAGGTAATCTGTACTTAAAGGAAACAGATAAAAATGAACAAATTCTGGTACTATCAATTCTTTTTTTGCTCGTTCCTCAAACATGTTTTTCTACCAAAGGAGATACTCCTAAATATATTGAGCTAAATAAGTTTATTGGTTTTCAGAGTCTTTAATACTATTCTCACTGTTAAAATAAAAAAAATGGGGATAATATGCTTCATTTCCCCAAAATATTTGGTGATAAACCTTTTATTAAGAGTATCACCTCTTCATGAAACACTTTGGGAACTCAAATTTGAATAATTTTATAACTTTCATAGAGTATTATTTTTCAAGTTTAAATAGAATATGTTTTATGACCAGATTATTTTATCCAAACCATTGGGACATCATAAAATGAGGCCAGATTCTAATATTTTACCTCTGAATGAAAAAATTTTTTATTTATAAATCAGTTAATTGAGGGGACTGGGGATTTAGCTCAGCGGCAAAGCGCCTGCCTGGCAAGCGCAAGGTCGTGACTTCGGTTCCCGGTACCGGAGAAAAAACAAAACAAAAAAATCAGTTAATTGAATCAATACCAAATGTCCCAGGAATTTCAGTTGAGTCCAAAAGATTAGCAGCCAATCTTTTATTCGATTGATAGGATCCAAACTTGAATGCAAAGACCACATCATATGATGACAAACCAGAAGTATTCTTTATTCTAATAGGAATACAATTTTTAATATAAGAACTAATGATGAATAAGATAGAGCCAATCTTGCTAATCATGTATGGTAGGTATCCACATTATAATTATCTTTGCTACTAAAGTATTTAACATTATTTTAATAAAAATATCTCATTGAATTCTAGGTAAATTTTTTTTTCATATGGTTTCATGACAACAGTGTTGTACTTGAAGTTAAAATATCTGTTTGAGTCCCATTATATAATATTGACAGTTGCACAAACCTGAGCGCTTAATTCCTTTCATCTGTTATGTAGAAGAGGATTAATTACCTAGCCCATATATTTGTTAGAAGAATTAAATGAAAACTTCAAACTTTTTGTAAACATTAACTCTCTAAATTAAGGGATTTTTTTAGATGTTTAAAGTAAGTATACAAATGGAAAGGTATAAAAATAATGTAGAAATATTAAAGATATCTTGATGTTTGAGATCCTGAAATTAATATTACTAACAAATGATCCCTTTGTGAATTCTTACCAGATAATGTCTGATTATAGGGAGCATTGGCTGCTGCAATACACTCTGACCAAAGCTGACTTTGTTCATCATAAGACATCACAAAGAGAAAGTCACAAGCATCTGCAATTCCAGTATAATTATAGCATCTTCCGTCTATGTTCTTTGGAGACCAAGCTACATCAAAGGTCACCTGTGGGAAAACATATATAATTTCACATAACATGATCAAATATGCATATTACATCACATGGGTTTTCTATATATTCTTTTGCCTTATACTACCCAAGAAAAAAATATTGCTTATAGTATATGAATGTAGAGATTAACACATACAGAACTAGAACAGTTCTAAGAAATTTTTTTTTTTTTTACTACACTAGAGTGGCCTAGGCATTTATTTAGACACTGTATATACAAAAGAAGAGGTTCAAACCTAAATGCCTTCAGAGGTTGGGCTGGTAGCTCAGCTGACTGAAAGACATAGGTATAATGACAACAAAGTGTGGTGAGGCTCCTGAACAACTGGAAAGTAAATGCGCACTAAAAGAATTCAAATACAACAGATACTAAAGATCTGTGCAAGCTATACAAGCTAAATAAGTCTCCTGTTGTCATAGCCTGACTGGGTTGTAAGTGTAAGCCTCTGATTCACAATTATACTACATGGTAGGTTTGGCCCAATAGTACAGTTAGAAAACTGGTGTGTTATGGACCACAGGTATAGATTAATCAATTTAAAATGTTGAATAAATCATTTAAATGACCTATTTTATGGAAGTATTAAAATAAAACAAGTATTATCTTTCATTTTGAATGATGAACTAGAATTCAACACAAATGAGCCTCTTTAAAATACTTTTACTGCCTTAAATAAATATTAACAAGCCTTATTTTAATGTGTAGAAATGTTCTAAAAATATCATTAAAGGGTTTTTTCCTTAATTAGGCACTTTCCTATCATAGTTAATCTTATATTTTTGCAGCAGTACTATTAGTATATTAACAAGAAATCAAAAGACTTGGGTTCTAGTTTTGGCTCCATTGTAACTTGGTCTACATCTCTGCTGTCACTTAAGGCATTTGAATCTGTTTTCCAATCTATGAAAAGAAGAGTATAGAAAGAATTCTTCAAGAGCATTTCCAAGTCTTTAATTGTATGACCATAATTTTGTAAACTTAAATCAACTTTTCCCCAAATCTCATTTCCTGCTCCAGAATTTCTATTTGGTCATTTTTTTCTAGCTACTAATTTAAAAAGTTGGCCCATTTTCTGACTTTTTCCTTCCTTCCCTTATCTAATCTCACAGTTTCCTTTGAGTGTCTTCTCACAGTTGTTTTCCCCCTTCTTTTCTATTAATTAATTCAACAAATAGTTGCTGAGTGGTAGAACTATGCCATCATCCCAATTCAAACTATAAATCTCTAGTTAATAGGATGTTGGGTAAGTACTTAGTAGTCTTCCTTCCTCCTCTGGTTTTATATACTGCTATAGAATAATCTCCTGAAACAGCCATATTTGCAAGTATACACATGTAACCCATTACATACAGAACAAAATGCATATTCCCCAGTGTTATATCCTGGATCTTCCTCAATCTCAACTGGCTTTCCAACTGTACCTCCTACTTACTCACCTTATATAAATCTGACATAATAGCCCAAATTATTCTACTCACCCTTCATACATAAATGTGGCTACTCCTTTAGCTTTTGGGTTTTTTGTTATTTGTTTGTTTTTTTTTTTTTTTTTTTTTGGTGTGATCCTAGAGATTGAATCCACACATATCACCCTAGACTATATCCCCAACCCTTTTTTGTTTTTATTTTTTATTTTGAGACAGGGTCTTGCTAAATTGCTAGGTCCCCCTAACTAGGCTGAAACTTGCAATCTTCCTGCCTTAGCCTTGCAGAATGCTGGGACTATAAGCATGTACCAGCACACCTGGCTGAAAATAGAGATGGTATTCCTATATAAGACTTTTGCTCAATTTCATTCATCCTGCCCTTTTCACTATAGCTTAATGAGGGCCAGCAAATAAATTGTTTCCCACAAACTAAATCTAACCTATTAGTAATAGCTACCAAGGGAATGAAGGAGAATTTCCTGAAACCAAAACTTGTGAGGAGGAAAGGGGTATGGTGGCCAGCATGCCAGGTATTTGCTATTCTTTTCTACATTGTACTCATCTGAAAAGTTGCATTCTGTATGGACAAACCTTCCCTACTTGCATAAAACTATACAGATGTGAGTCCTCTCATCATTATTTTACCAATGATTATCATATTCACGATGGTCAACTGTAATAGAATCACCTAGAGCACTTGGTAAAACTGCAGTGCCCTAGCTCTATCCCAGACCTACTGAATCAGTTTTGAGAAATTTTAAACAAATACTCCCAGGTGATTCTGAGACAGGTTTAGGAACCACTTGTTATATTTATAATCATTATCTTGGAATGAATATTATTTTCGTCAATCTTAGATATATTTAGAAAAAACATTTTTTAAAATTGTGCCTGTACTTAGCACATACATACTCTTCTTGACATTATTTTTTAAATAACATCATAAAAACATTTACATTGTATTAGATATTATAAGTAATCTAGACTATACAGGAAGTCATGCATAATTTGCCATTTTTTGTACACGACTTGAACATCTACAGATTTTGGCATCCATGTAGGGTCTTGGAACCAGTCTCCCATGGAATATCAAGGGAAAGTTTAGTCTCTGTGTGTGTGTGTGTGTGTGTGTGTGTGTGTGTGTGTGTCCTATTAAACCATATTTAAAATTCTTTAAAGGCAGCCCTCTTTCATATACTCAGCAAATAATTTTTAAACACCATATTAGACATTAAGGATCTGGTCCTCCCTTTCAAAAAACTCACTAACTTGGTAGTTCTTAATTATAATCATCTATGAATTTTTTTAAAACTATAAATTTTAGGTTCATCAAACACCTTCTTAATAATAATGTGGGAGTGAGTCCTCAGCATTTGTGTGTATGCACATGTACATTTCTGTTCTTCTTGAGACCCCCTTGTCATCTTAATATGTGTCCAGATGTAAGACTAGTGGTCTGGAACCACACGACCCTTTGTTACCTACACACTGCCTGGCAAGATGCCTTGTACTGTAATCAGGCTCATTATGGCAATGGGAAAGCGCACTGTCTGTTGTACGTCATAGCTCTAACAAGTTCTACAGTATCAGTCCTTTGAGCTTTATTGGGCCTTGAGCATCCCTCCTGGATGCTTCCTGCCTTCACTGCCTAATACCGTATCCCTGCTGCAAGGCAAGTCACTGGAGTAATCTCAGTGTTGTATTATGATGTGAATAGAGAACAAATTTTGGACCTTAAAATTCCTTAAGTAATAACAATAAAATTTATACAAAATGTTTAGGAAATATGTCCTGAAATTCTTTCATATTGCATTACTACAAAACTAAGATCACATACCTTCACCAAACCATTTTGGTGGAGAAAATAGAATTTCCAAAAAAAAGTAGATGTTTTTACCTGCGATCCCTCAATCTCATGATGGAAGGACTCTGTGGTTTCTTTGACCAAAGCTGTTAACGCATCATATTCAGGTGATGAACAATTAACTTCCTGCTCTATGTCAATATTAATTCCATCCATATATTGTGTTTTGACCAAGTGAAGTTTCTGTGCTATCCAAGATGCTCTGAAACTAGGATCAATGATGTCTTTTAGGGGCACATCTCCTATGGAAGAAATATACATCTTTTGAACTTACAAGTTTTTTGTATAGTTAAATGCCATTTATTTTACAAAGCCACTTTCAAAGAGATCAAAATGTCTTTAAAACCTCTCATTATTTTGGAATACTAAACCCCTAGTCCCCAAATACAGAATTCATATACCAAAGTAAAAGCCATTTCCCACTAATCTCTAAAATTACCAACATAGTTAAATAAGATCATTCTCAAATTAAAGGCAGAAATTGTGGACTAACTAAAGGTCAGCATGCTAATTAGGCAGTCACATTTTGCTCGAAACCATAAAACGGTTTATTTAACCTTTCAAAAAATATCTTGATTTGTGAAATGCATTTAATGAAAATTAAAACAAGATTTTAAAAAAAGATAAACATGAAGGAATTTTTTAAAGTAAGGACTATAGCAAATGATACAGGTAAATTTACAAATTAAATGCATGCAATTGGTAAAAAAAAAAAAAAAAAAAATACCTTTTAGCACTACTCTGGCTCCTTTTGAATGAGCATAGCACATGAGCTCTGAGTCATATTTTCCAAAAGCTGCCACAGTTGTAATCTGTGACCAGTCATAAGATTTCCAAGTTTTCTGCCCCACATCAAATACAAAGACCTGCAGAACAATCAGCATAGTCATCATTATGTAAACGAAGAATATCATGCTGACCATCCAGACCACCATATACACGGCTCTGACACTACAAGGGGGAAAGACACGGGGGTCCCAAATGTAACTGGTGGCAAGGGTAATTGACCAGGCCAGGAAACTGAGGGGGGATGGGCCAGGAAGAGATAGTGGGAAAGTGCCAGCACCTGGAGGCAGAGAGAACATGGTGGCTGTGTAATTGAATATTCGGTGTGGATGGCTGATGCCTAGAATTTAGAGAGCATAGAGAAGACCCTGGGAGGGGTAAGTAGTGGTTAAATCCTCAGGAGCCTTGTAAGACCTGCTGAGAAGACAGTACTACATCCTGAAGGAAGGGAGAAAATAAGAACTTTTTTTAAAGAAAGTGTGCATCTTAAAAAAATTCCTTCCGCTGAAGTGGGAAATGGATTAAAGAGGGGCCTGAAGTGGAAGAATAGGGAAGCTGTTGGAGGAGTCCAGGCAAGAGATGATGGCAACCTCAACTAAAATGAAGCACTGCAGTTAAGTGACGTGAGTGAACAGATCTGGGAGATTCTAGGGAGGCAGAATTTATAGGACTTTGTGACTAACTGGATGAGGAAGGCAAGAGAACGAAGTTTGGTAACAGTTTCTGCCTGCTGTAGATGGAACTCTAGATACTCCACTAGGTACTATGAATGTTTTTCAGTGGTGCTGACTTCTTAGTATTCAAGTCAAACTCTAAGGCAGCTGATGTTAAAGTCCCTCCAGTATTTTTTTTTTCTCACAGAAGTCTCACTGATCAGGTTTCTTTTATGCTAAGGTACTAATTAATTGACTCAAAATATTTATTGAATTTCAGTAAAGCATAGGGAGGATTCAAGGTTCTTTTCTTTTTCCTTCCTTCTCTCTTCCTTCTTTCCTTCTTCCCTCCCTCACTCCCTCCTTCCCTTTTTTTTCCCTTTTTCTTTGTGCTAGGATTGAACTCAGGGAACACCAAGCTGCATCCTCAATCTTTTTGTATGTTTTTGGGCGGGGTATTGTTGTTTTGGGGCAGGGTGTTGTTGAGGCAGAGTATTGCAAAGTCAGCCAGGATGGTCTGGAACCTGTGCTCCTCATAGTAGCTGTGATTATAGGCATTACTGCCACATCCAGCTAGGGAGGGTATTTTGCTAGGCACTGTGGACATAGAGGTTAACAAGAGACCAAGTCCATTTGAGAGTTATTAATTGCAATAGTAGTAAAGGTTGAAAGGAAATGCAAGGTGCCATGGGGACCTGTTTGGAAGATGGGGCAGGAAAATTTCCCTGAGGACTGACCATAAGAGATGATGAAATCTATATAATAACAATGGAGGAGGGTACTAATGGGCAAAACAACCTTCTCAGAGGAGGGAACAAAAAACTCAAAGGTCCCTACACCTCGGGAAAATTCTGATTCTGGATTTGAAAGTAGCTACAGCACAGAAATCCTGAAAGTGTGGTGAATCACATAAAAGGAATTAAGGTGGGTGTTAGCAACATGAAGAAGTACTTTGTACACCACTGAGGATTTTGAATTTTATCCTTGAACAGTGGAAATCCACTGGCATTTAAATCCTTAGGCTACTTTGAGGACACTGGATGGGGAGGAGCAGTAGGTGCACTAAAAACTCAAACATTTCTTAACTTTTTCAGTCACCTCCCTTTTTGTTTTACTTTTTAAACTTCAACTTCCCAGTGAAATAATAAAAATGTGCCATGGCACATGACTGTAATTCCAGCATTCTGGGAAGCTAAGGCAGAAGGATCAAAAATTTAAGCCCAGCTTGGGCAACTGAGCCATTTATCCAGACCCTGTCTCAAAAATAAATAAATAAATAATAAAAATTGCAGATTATGAACTGAATGACCCATGAATCTTGGGACTCACATTTTTCTCAAACTCTTGATTTTAATTCCAGTAATTAAAGCTAAACTTGATTTTTTAAAAAGTTAATGAGCCCTTGTGAGATCTTAATATGCATTAGGCCTTGGGCACAATCTCCATGATTTAAAAAATACTCGAAGGGGCTGGGGATTTAGCTCAGCGGCAAAGTGCCTGCCTGGCAAGCGCAAGGTCGTGAGTTGGGTTCCCGGTACCGGAGAAAAACCAAAAAAAAAAAAAAAAAAACCAAAAAAATAAAAATAAAAAATACTCGAAAAAATACAGAAAAAGCTAATAAAGGACTTATTTACTGTGACCATAGGAAAATAAGCATAATTTCCTGCACTGTATTTTTCAAAATGCCCACAAACACTACCTAATCTACCAAGTATTGGGTGCTACAATAAATTTTTCAGATAGTTAAATAAAACATATATTTGAGAGACTATTAGGCTGAAACCACTCCAATGTCTTGGATTACCACTTAACCAAAGTGCAGCCCAGTGTAAACAGACAAGAAATGAATCAGAAACCACCAACTAACTAGCAGGGACTTTCCTCTGGGTCTTAACCAAATGAGGCAAACACCTAACCACAGCCAATCAACTTCTTTGCTTCCGTGTTCAGTCTATACAAGCCTACACTCAGCTTTTGGAGCTCTATGAGTTGTTTATGATATGCATCTTGTCGATTATCACGAATTGTTCTTTCCTCAGATAAACTTTTCTAGTTCTCAAGTTTTTAAAAAGCAGATTTCCACACTGGGCAGTCACCAGAACTTTCACTACTTATTTTTCTCCCAAGCAATGTATATATACTTACAAGCACTGCCTCCAAGTGAATCTACTACATTAAGAACGAGGAATTGGTCCTGTTTCTACAAAAGAATTGTTCTATGGACTAAACCTGACCTCCCAGGCCGGGCGTGTGGGTGCACACTGTAATCCCAGCACTCAGAAGGCTGAGACAAAAGGACTACCATGAGTTCGAGGCCAGCCTGGGCTACAAAATGAGTTCAAGGCCAGCCTGAACAGCATACTGAAACCCTGTCTCAAAAGACCAAAAAAAAAAAAAAAAAAAAAACATAAGCTCCCTGATTTTGTCCAATTCCATGTGAGCACCACATAGCTAAAACACTTGGATCTGTGTGGTACTAAACTGATTTTATTCCTGACCTACTCCGAGTTCAACTGGATAATGTTGCAGCCACCCTGCCCACCCTGCCCATGCTGTCCTTGCAGGAATGTGGGGTCACAGATGCCCAGTCCATGCCACCCAGCCTGCATTGAGCCGCTGCTCCCTGCTCAAGAGCTTCTGCTATCAAACTTCAGTTAGGTGGCTTTACTATAGCTTCAAAAGGGGTGTTTTGGTTCAGTTGCCAGAAGCCTTATAAACAGTTTGGGTAGAAGGTCAATTTCCTGAAAGACCTATTTTTACCGCCCTTGAGGTTCTGAGGCGCCCTGAAGGAAAGAGCTAAATACAGTTTTAAAAAGCTAAGGAAAACACTGTCTCTTCCGCACGAAGCCCTCATTCTCTTGGAAATGACTTATCCCACCTTCTTTGGGTTTTACACCCAGACTGCTCCCGGAGCGGGGACAGGGTAGGGGAAACCCGGGGCTGGCTTCACAGAGAGACGTGGGTTTGAACCTCGCCCGCAGAGCCGGGCACTTGAGCCCGGGAGGCGTGGGAGGAGTTGCTCAACCCCTCCGCGTCGGTATTGCCCCATCTACAAGCTGAAGGAAATCTGTAAACAGGAAGGCCCTCAGCAAGTGGTCACGGCTGGGGCTGGCATCCCACCACCTCTTTAGGGCTCCGTTCCACTCCAGATTCTCTCCCAGCCTTGGGACCAGACCCACAGTGGCAAGGGAGAGGCTCTGACCTCAAAGTCCGGGCGGTGTCGGATCGGGAGGCAGAGCGCAGGTTCCCGGCAAGGACAGTCAGCCCAGACTGGAAGGCACAGCGCCAGCAAGGCCAGCAGCCGCAGCGGCCGCAGGGCGACCCTCGGGGCGGGGCGCGGAGCGCATAATGCGAGGGGAGGCGCAGCCATCAGGGCAGGCTGGCTGCAGGGCACCCGGAGCGCTCCTCCGGACGGCCCGGGACACAGGCTGGGCTGGGCGCCTGGTGGGCGGAGCCTTGCTCAGGGCGGGGCCTTGCTTGCAGGGTGCGGGGCGGTCGGCCCAGCCTGCGTGGACTGCGCACTTAGGAGGTCTGTGGCCTTTGACGCCCAATAAATGCCATCTCGACCGCTTTTTGCCCCAACTATTCCCACTCTCTTTGGCTCTGCGTCATGGCTCTTTGTATACTCCTTGTGGAGCCTGAAGTTAGAGGAAGCCCCCAAAATGGAAAAGTGGGGAGTCTTTGGAATGAAAGGCTGAGCTGCCAGGTTGCAGGGGCCAGAACGCCTTCGACCACAGGGATGTCTGTTCTGAGTTAAAATGGTGGCATGACGACAAGCATCCAATATCGTTTCCTGTGTTGCTGAACCTCCAGGGAAATCTTAAATCTCCAAGGACATGGAGATGACGGAAACAAAATGTTGGAAGTCGGAAAGCAGAAATATGAGAGGTGAATAGAAAGGGAACGTAGTGTTGCTAGAACTTATGTCCGGCTTCATGTTGCTGGGCAGCTGTCTCTCCCCTATCCAACCTGAAATTGGGAAGCTGAATTATCTGAGTATTTGACTTTATCCAGTACCTAAATGGGGAACAAGTCCAAGTTTGTGCCTACTGTAAACTGAACTCCCCACCCACATTCCTCACTATGTTAATCAAAATTTGATTAACCCAAGAGCTCCACCAAAGAGACTGCCACCGGGCTTTTGTCTATAAACCACACAACCAGACCACTCTGGTAAAATTCAGTCAAAAAAGATTATGCAACCACTCAGAGTTTCCTCTTTTTACTTGTCTTTTACTTTTAATCATAGCGGCCAAGAGAAACCAATAATATGGAAGGAGAAGGCTGAAACACTGAAAATGAAATATGGAGAAACAGACAATTCAGGGGATATATTTAAGAAAGCTATAATACCCCCAGAAAGGCAGGAGGAGACGAAGCCCCAACAGAATACAATGAAAAAGTGGATGGGGGAGGCAGGCGCGAATGCTTGGAAACGAGAGAATATAGTGGAAATGAAAAATCAACAGAAGATAGTGGAGAGGAATGTGCAGGGGAAAGATAAAATTACAAGACTAGTTCAAACAGGAAGAAATAATTCTTAAGGCTGCTAGAGAAGCAGAGAAGTACAAAGAAAAATGTAATTCTGGAGACTCCAAGACTGTCAGATATAAGTTTCAGAATGGAAAGTCAATAAATTCTAAAAGCATACAGAAGGAAAAAATACCCACAAAGGAGCAAGAATCTGAAATTCTAGAGAGACTGGTTTCTACTTAAAATTCTACCAAACTATCAATCAAGTGGGAAAGCAGAATAAATGTATTGTCAGATGTACAAAATTTCAAAATATCTTCCTACCGTACACCTTCTGTCAAGAAGCTAATTCACTAATAAGGAAATAAACTGAAGGATAAACATAAAGAATACAAGATACAGGAAATCAAAAACAGGAAAGAATATGAAAGTCCTCAGGAAAGATGGTAAAGCCTATGGTATTTTGGGCATCAAGGGACAAGGGATATCTTGAATATAATCCTGATTAGATTATATTGGAGAACGTGTAATGTCATGGACAGCCACTTATCAATAGCCATCTTTTCTCCAGAAGGAACAAATACTCATGACGAAAGTCCCTGAAAACATTTCTTATTGATGAAATACACAGGACAATTTTGTCAATGTAAGGGCTAAGACTGATTGATGAACTCATAAAGTATGTTTAATATGTATGGGTTTACTGAATGTTTGTTTTTTTAACAAGAAAGAAGCCTCCTGATTCCCACAGAATTAGACTATAACCTGTAATAGAAAAGCAAACATATAACTACCTGTGTCAAGGATCTTCAAGATCATCTGAAGGTTTAGTTATGGTCTAGAAATCATAGGACTCAATTGTATTCACAGCTAAGAATTACTATACTAGAAGGATACAAAGCAAAATCAACAAAGGGGAAAAGGCTTCCAAAAGTTCACTACCCATGGAGTCACACAAGATAAGCTTAGTTACTGTAGCATCAAATTGTGACAATATATGTGAAGTGTTTTCTACCACTCAAGCTCATTAAAGAATCAGAATGCTAGGAACCCCCCAAATCTAAGTTCCCAGATACCAATGAAGGGCCAGCTGCAGAAATAGGCTTTTGTAAATGTAGCAGTCGTAGGCCTCTAAATCTTTTCCACATGCTACCCAAATGAGGAACTCCTATAACTTGTGCATGTATAAGTATCTATATATGCTCATATGCGCATAAATTTTCTGTAAAGTTGTACAAGAAAAATAGGCGCCTGGGAGAAATTGCATTGAGTGAGACTTCACTATTTACCCTTTCGTTTCTCTTGAATCTCATATCATCAAAGCAAGATTTAAAGAACTGTTACTGTCTTAATTAAACACCTTTTAACTATATAATTTAACTTTCATTTTTTCTCTTCATGTAAGTAAACAAAATATTTTCATTTGCCTTGAACATTTTCTTAGACTAGAAACTCCCCCAAGGGCATAAATAAGCCAGACTATCTGTAGCATATAGCTACAGAAGTCTGACAAAGCCCCCAATTGTGTTTTCAATGGAGTATGTAATTGTATGTGTAGTGGGGGATGGACTTCAATACTTCCAATAAAATTGCTTTGGACCTGTAAGTACCTTAATTATCAACAGCTATATCTAAATCACATTCAGATTTTCTTGGTTTTTTTTCTTTCTAACAAGGAAAAAGCTTCCTGATTCCCATAGAATCACTATTATCTGTAATAGAAAAGAAAACATATCATTAGCTGTGTTCTGGATGTCCCAGATCATCTCCATGTTTAATAATGGACTAGGAATCACAGGACCCAGTTGTATTCAGAGCCAAAAATTATTATTGCATGACTCTAATTTGCTCAAATTTTTTCATGTGGCCTCTAGAAATCACCGTTTTTGTTCATGGACTTTAAACTTTCCCTTCTTTAATCCATCCAACAATTCTATGGTTTTAAACTTCAGTCTTGAAAAGAACACATGCAATGCTTAAATTGCACAGCCAGAAGCCCTGCCACTGACAGTCTTATTATTCACCAGTTCAGTGAGATGGGGCCCAGAAATGTGAATTTAAACTGAAAGCCCCAGGTAATTGTGATGCAGGTGGTTGTGACATATGATTCAGGACTTGTTGTTGTCATCATTTTTCCATCATTTCAAAAACTTTTCTCCTCTTCATATCATGAGCTCTTAATCATTTGGGGTATTTTCAGTCCCTTTTGAGGATCTATGAAAAGGTATGAGCTTAAGTACTTATATATATTCATACCAATTTTATTAGTAGTTTTCGAAGGAGAGAATCTCTAGTCAATTGCTAGAAATGATTGTTTAGTAAGAGTGTTAGATAGTAACTTAAATCAGTTCCACTACAAACAAATGAAATTAATTAAAGATGCTATTTATAATAGCAACTAAATATATGTGGAACTTAGGAAAAAATGCCATACAGTATGTGCTTTATATGTGTAACATGTTTATGGAGAAAATTCTAAAATCTATTCTAAGATAATAAAGAAGATCTACATCTATGTTTCATGATGTTCACAGATAGACTCAATTTCCTAAAAATATCCTTTCTCTTCAAATAGATTTGTACATTTAAAGTAATTTCAATCAAAATGCCAACAGGATTTATGAAGAAGTTTAACAAGATTTTCTTAGTTTACATGAAATGTCTAAAACTCCTCCAAGAGCAATTAGAAACTACATATTGTTGATGAGAGTATACATTTGCATGACCCCTTTGAAAACAAATTGGCAATGTCTTATAAATTTGAAGATTCACACACTTCAAGCTAAGAAATTTCACTTCTAGACTACAGAATCTCTTGCACAGTTGTCTTAATAGACCCGCACATATATATTCATAGTACTAAGGAGAGAGTTGAGTGGACCCATAGGTTCTTCCCTACTATTTAAAAAATCTTGGCAGAAAACTGCCTCAGCAGGTCTGAATTAGGTCAGCTGATACTAGCTGATGAGTTTCCCTTTAGGAAAGCTCCTTTGGATGCTTCAGCATTGCGTAGTGTTCCTAAACACACAGACAGTAGAGACAGGGTTACCTCTGTACTTGAACTTTGCCCATGGGAGAGGCAGAAACTGTGCCTGACCTAAACTGTGATATAACAAGAGGTGAAAAATGTGTATGGTCTCCTAAATCTGTAATTGTAAGTTTCTTCCCTAAATCTGTTTCTTATCTGCACCTAAGAGTGTGCATCAAACTCTTTTGCATGATTGCACTTTTATTTGTAGTAGCAAAAAAACTTGAGGCAACTCAAATGCCTACCAGTTAAGCATACCTAGATTGTGGTAGAGTTATAAATGGAATGCTACACAGAAATTAAAATGAATAAACTAAACCCATGGGCATTAATATGGATGAATCTTAGATGACTGGGAAAACCAACTCATAGAAGAATATAAAAAATATAATGTCAATTAACATTCCAAACTATAAATAGTTGATATTTACATAGGGGTAAAATCATAAAGAAAAGCAAGGGGGCTGTTATGCTTTAGACAAGAATGACCCCTAAAACGCTCACGTGCTCAGAGATGGACCTTTGGAAAGGTGATTGGATCTTAGGGATGCTGTACTCATCCACAGCAAGTTCAGCATGAAAGTGTGCATTTGGGGGTGGGGCCTGGCCAGAAAAGTCTGGTCCCTTGGGCCTGACCTGGAAGACTATATCTTCCACTTGGCTTCTCCCTTTGCTCTCTGCTCTCTACTTCCTGGCAACCATAATGTGAGTAGCTTTCTTCTAAGGCAGCTTCTTTCCTCCATGACGTTTCTGGCTTGGAGCCTGCTGGCTGAATGGACTGAAACTTCTGATTCTGTGAGCCAAAATAACCCTCTCCTCTTTTAACTTGTGGGCATTGGGTATTGTCTCCCCGTGATGACAAAGTGATTACAACAGGGATGATAGGCAAAAAGAAATCATGACAGATCTTGGTGAGGGTTGGAAATTAAGGTGATGGGGTCCA